GATTTGAATTCCAGTGCTGACTTTATAATTTGTAGATCTCTTCTGTTAGCTCTGCCGATTGGTGGTAAACACGTTTCCGGGCTGATTACAGCCTGTGGAAATTCAGGTCCTAGAGCCAAGGAGAAGAGTGACTTTGCTCTGTCTTTGGGTGTGGACGCCTTGCTTATCAAACAAAATGGAATCTGAGAGGTGGTTGAGAGCAAGGTCGCCAAAAGGTGCCTTAAAGATTTCTTTAGTTTTGGGATTTTCTTTTCCCTTGCCATTGTTATGTGGGTTGAGTCTGCTATGCCAGCAAGAGTCCAGATAGCCACTTGGGGTGACTGTGGCCAGATGGGGAGTCTTCATTTAGGAATGCAGAGTATCTTAGCTGAGGCTATCTCATTTTAGCTCTACCAAAGTGTGAGGGACTCCTTTTTTCCCCAGGGCTAAGGTGGGAACCCTTACTCGAGCTGGGCAAGTCCTCTGACGCTGGGCTAGAACCCCCACCCCCCTCCAGGTCTACCCAAGGAAGGCCACACTTTACTGAGGAGTCAGTACACTGAGAAGGCCACAAGACACTAAAGAAGATGAATAGATGGGGGCCAGAGAGTTCCTAGATGCTGTGAGATTGTGCCTTCGAGTTTTAATCCTTGTAATGTTCCTTACACCCGTTGTAGAAATGCGGGTTTCTTGCTCTGCTTTGTTTCAGTATAACAAAATACCCAAGACTGATATTTTACAAAAGAACAGAGGCTTCTTAGTTCACAGCCCTGGAGTAAGGGCAATCCCCGATTAGGGAGCCACGGCTGGTGAGGACCGTCTCTTATGTCATTGATAGGACAGAAATTAGAAAGGAAAGAGTGGAGAGAGAAGGGGGGGGGGGGGGGAACTTGTCCTCTATCCGGAACCTTCTCTGGTGACGAGGATACCGTCCATTCATGAGGGAAGAGCCCTTGTGACTTAATCAGACCCCAGAGACCCACATCAGTACTGCTGCACTGGAGAAGAAGTCAACCCATGACTTTGGGGAGCACCTTCAGTAGATGTTAGTGGTGCCTTTGCACTGAACATACTGTTCTCTTGAATGGGAGGAACAGGGCAAAGTCAGGACGGTCTTGGGGGTGCCACCACAGCTAGCCATACTAGGAACTTGCCAGCAATGCTCCTCTCAGGCCCGTGACCCTGGTGTGTGAGGCCAGCTCATAATTCTAACCCTGTAGCTGCCCTGTTTCTATATGTAGCCAACTCTGATCTTTAAATGTACTTTTTTTTTTAATTTTTTTTTTTATTCCCTACTTTTTCTGAGTCCTTGTTCGGTATTTTCAGCCTGTGGACTTTTCTAGACTTTGCTTTTTATAGATGGGAATGGAGGCCATAAAGCATGAGCCCTTGGTGCACAAGCCAAGAACTACTGCAAGGAATTCCTTCTAGTGGAATATTCCAGACGAGCTTCTTGACAAGGACACTTGCATATGTAGCCATCTCTGTCAGTGAGCTGTGGCCAGATCCTGCAGACAAACCCTCCAAATCAATGGGTTTCATGTCAAAGTTACCTGAACTCTTTTCATGAAAGCTTCCACCTCTTCTGTGGGGAGGTAGGAGGTGTGTTGTGGGCATCTGTGTGGAGGTCAGAGGGCAACATAGGGCTTCGGTGGAGTGCAGGGATCTGTGTGGGGATCAGAGGGCAATCTAGGGCTTTGCTGGGGTGTGGGCATCTGTGTAGAGGTCAGAGGGGCAACCTCAGGCATCAATGCTTGCAATCTTCTTTGTGACAGTGTGTCTTGCTCGCTGCTTCTTATATTAGGGTGGCTGATATCTGTGAGTTGAAAGCCAGGCTGGTCTACATAGTGAGATCCAGGCCAGCCAGAGCTATATAGTGTGTGAAGACCTGCCACACACACATGCATGCACATACACACATGCATGCATACACACACACACATGCATGCACACACACATGCATTCATGCACACACACACATACCCTCTAGTACAGTGTCCTGTGGAAGCACAGTATCCTGTGTGTATATGTATATTTTATCCCAGTTAGTCCTGTTACCTTAAGTCTGTGTTATTTCTCGTTATGGTTTGATTATGTAATGTCCAGCATGAGCTGGTGTGCCACACACTTGGCCTCTGACTGGCGGTGGCATTTTGGGAGGTGGTAGGCCTAGTCAGAGGCTAGCGTGGGGGATATTCCAGAGGGTATGGTTTCCTTGTTTCTACTCCTCCCTCCCTTCCTACCTCCCTTCCTTCCTCGGTCCTATTCCCCTCCCTCCATGCCTTCATACTTCCCTTCTTCACCCTCTGTCTCAGAGCGAGACAGCCTCGGAGTAAAGTGTTCTCTTCTTTAACATGTTCCTGTGGTCAGGCTGTTCTGCCTGTGTCCATGGGTCCGAGCAATTACAGATTAAGTCCTCTGAACCCATGAGCCAAAAGTAATCCCTCCTTCTTTAAGTTATATCTGTCAAGCATTTTTGTCACAGATGTAAGAAAGGGAATTAGCGTACCGATGTCCCTTGCAGAGGACCTAGGCATCCTAAAGTCAAGCTGCACCCCCTTCCCCCATCACCTTGGACCAGTAGCTGTTGGACTGTATTTGTTTAGCCAGGCTCGTAAGCATCAAGAACTGCCATGATCGTCACTATAGTGATCAATGGGCACTGCAGACACAGCCATGCAGTCTGGGTGCCCGAGATAACAGCAGTAGTTACGACAGAAACTCGATCCCCAGTGTCCACTGATGATCATAAACCATTGTCTTAGAGTTTCTACTGCTGCGATGAAACTCTACGACCAAAGCAACTTGGGGAGGGAAGGGTTTATTTGGCTTCCACTTCCACATCACTGTTCCTCATTGAAGGAAGTCAGGACAGGAACTCAAACAGGAACCTGAAAGCAGGAGCTGATGCAGAGGCCATGGAGGGGTGCTGCTTACTGGCTTGCTTCCCATTGCTTTCTCAGTCTGCTTTTTTACAGAACCCAGGACCACCAGCCCACAATGGGCTGGACCACTCACAGATCACTAATAGGAAGAAGGCCTACAGGCTTGCCTACAGCCCGACCTTGTGGAGGTATTTTCCCCCCTTCTCTCAGATGACTCCAGCTTGTGTCAAGTTGACATAAGACTAGTCAGTAAAACCATATAAACTTAATTTTTCCTACATTGTAATAATAATCTTTCTCACCAGCTGTTTTTCCATTGTTGTCTCAAATTTTACTTGCTCTTAGATCAGATCCATCTTCCGCTTTCTTCTTTCCTGTATTCCCTTCTCTCTTTTCTCTGTTTTCCATCTCCATTTTAGACAGTGATTTTCAGTGCTGGGATCACAGGTGTGCACCTCCGTGTTCCGCTCGCCATCCTTTCTTACGAACCCCACCCTTTAGAAAGAAAACCATAAGCCCATCCGAGGTCTGTGTGCCAGCCTTGCCCGCCCGTCTGGCCATATCCATGGTGCCCCTGCCTGCATCTTTATCTCGCTTCCTTAGGTATCGGGTGCCTGTTGTCGCGTAGCTGGATCTCTGCACCCAACAACTGACCCCCGCCAGGGATTCAGTACTCAGGCACACACTCCGCCTCCTAGCTTCAACTTCTCTCTGGATCTCGGTTCTGGGGAATGCGGGCCAGAGTCTGCCCCTAACAGGACTACTACAGCGTCCGCTTTCTTGGGGACTGGGGCTGGCTTTCCCGCAGAACTGTTCATGCCGTCTGTGTTATTCCTGGATGAGGGTCATCTCTGACCTTACAGCGTGGGTCTTCTGTCTCTCTGCATCTCCACTTCAAAGCGTTGGACTCGCAGTCCCCTCTTGCTGTTTTCCCTGAACACCCCTCATCTCCCTGCCCCCGTCCCGGGGGGGGGGCGTCTGTCCACAGGGAGGGTGACCCATCCACCCCGAGGGGGAGAACATTAAAGAGGACAGACTTGTGTGTGCCCCTGCAGACTGTTAAGCAGCTGAGTAAACTCCCTGTCACTCTGCCTACTGTTTCCACGTGGGAACGATGACAATAGCTCTCCATTCTAGCTCCAAGCTTCCTTGGAAGGGAGAAGCCTATTTCCCATCTAAGAAATCTAAGATTCTGAACTCAGGTGCTGCACTGGCCTCAAAAAATGCCAGTGGTTGAGAAGTGAACTTTATTCATTTATCACCGGATGTCTTGGGGAATAATCTCAAAAGATAATCTGTCATTATGAAACTTTTTGAATCGGCGCTGAGCTAAATTCTTGTGCTTGTTTGCTTTCATGATCCTGACCGTGACCTCGTGTCTGAGACTCAGTTTCCCAGCTGAGAAGGGAGACATGGGTACTCAGGCAGTGATGATTATTGTAACAGCTAAGTAAAGCAAGCTAGAAGAGAATACTCTGTAAACGTACATGATTAGAATTTGATGCTTATTTTAAAGCAGTGAAGGTTGAGCATCCTTTGTGTAAATTGCATGGGACTAATATGGTTTCTGGTAACTGGGGATAATTTATATATATAATGAAATATTTTGGGAATGGTTGCTAAGTCGAAATGCAAAATGCATTTTGACTCACATATATCTTATACATATAGACTGATATTTGCAGAGATTTGATGCGAGACTTAATCTTTATATAATTTTTATATATTGTTTGGGATCCTGATTTAATCCACTCTTATGCCTATTGTTCCCCATCTCCTATTTTTTAGAGTTCACTAGCCATAATTAAGCTCTTAAATAGCATCAAAAATAAAACAATGCCATAATAATAAAAGGAAACTAAATATTCAGACAAATGAAATAACATTTGCAATTTACCCTAATTCCCAGAAAGATTTGGTCTTGGTGGATTTAGAGAGGCCCTGATAGCTCATGTCCCGGGTCTTTCCTAACTAAGTTGTATCAGTGTTCTATATGGTGTCGTTTAGGGCGGAGCTGTGGCTGGTCACATACACGGACATGATCTGACTTCAGCCTCCTTTAATGACAAGACGCAGTAGGAATGCGCAACAGGACAGCAGGTGACGCGCTGTGCCGTTTGTCTGTCTTTCTCTCAGGGACTCTGACCTATTTTTGTTGGACACCCGTGCAGTGTGGGCCTCAGAAGAAGGCTGGCTGGAATTTGACATCACAGCAACCAGCAATCTGTGGGTGGTGACTCCACAGCACAACATGGGACTCCAGCTGAGTGTGGTGACTCAGGATGGTGAGTTGTGACTTGCACGCTGCCAGCATCTGCCCGCAGCCATTTTCACTCGTTTCCTCTGGAGCAGCTGTGGTGGAACCACTGTTTGGAGCCCAGCCCTTGGCGCCGGGATGACCTGCTTTTCTCTTTCCTCACCACCATATCTAAAAGCAAGACCTTTTTTTCTAGCAAGGACTTAGAAGCAGGCTCAGGCCCTGTCCCCTACTGTCCCCCTTCCCCGTGTCTCCCCACCACCCCACCTACAGAAAACAATGAGAAGGATAGCCAGGTTGAGTCAGGTGGGAGAATTCCCAGAAGAACAGCTCAGGGAGAGGGCACTTGTCTAGCATGTGTGAGTCCCTGGGTTCTACCCAGCACCAAAAGATAGAACTGGAAGGAATGAGAAGTGGGAAGGAGAGCCTGGAAAGTAATTAGAATCTTGACTGTCCCATGAGGAAACGTCCCCTCCTGACTGGCTCCCTGCTTCAGTTGCTCCATCTCCCTCACATTGGTGGGGAGAAATATAGCCAGAAAGGGAAGTAGGAATACTGACGAATAAAAGGACCAGAAGTGAGAGCACACACTCCGTTGGTTGATTCTGTACTCTGGGAAGCCGTTTTCAGTCTTCCATCTAAACGGAGCCAGCTAGGGTGGGAGACTGCGTGGGGCCTTGCCCACGTTTCCCACTCTTTACTGCTTTACTAGCCCACGGAAGCCTAGGAAGGGCCGCCTCATTGTGTAGCTTTGAGACGAAGGTTCTGTGGAGTAAAGAGGGGTGGGCTTTGGTTTGCATTAAAGGACTCCACGTCAACCCCCGCGCGGCGGGCCTGGTGGGCAGAGACGGCCCTTACGACAAGCAGCCCTTCATGGTGGCCTTCTTCAAGGTGAGCGAGGTCCACGTGCGCACTACCCGGTCAGTCTCCGGTCGGCGTCGGCAGCAGAGTCGCAACCGTTCCACCCAGTCACAGGACGTGTCCCGGGGCTCCAGTGCTTCAGGTGAGTGTGGACAGAGGCTCGGTGCCCATTAGGACAAAAGTACCTGTGGCCCCAGGTGTTGGACGGCTTCTGCTCAGCAAATACAGTGGCAACAGTGGTAATGTCCCCGCCACAGATACCTGTATGGGATCCTAGGCCCCTCAGCACAGAGCGCTATTACCCGAAGACTGGAGTTGCAGGCACCCACATTGCCTCTTGGTTCCGATAAGCATCTTTCTGTTGATGGGATGTCTGTAACTCTTTTTCCCCCCTTCCCACAAAAATCATGGGAACACCCCAATTACTTTAATTTTTAGATTTGTTTTATTGAATTCATAAATGTGCTGCCTGTATGTGTGTGTCACATGTGTGTCTGGTGCCCATGAAGGACAGGTGATATGCCAGGTCCCCTGGAACTAGTTAGAGATGGTTATGAGCCACCGTGTGCATGCTGGGAACCAAACCCAGGTCTTCTGCTTGAGGCCAGAGAGGTTTCAGATGTTTCTTTCCTTCAGATTTGGGGACACTTGCATTATATACGTAATGAGATTTCTTGAGGGATAAGACCTATATCTGATGATAAAGTTAATTTATATCCCCTATTCACCTTACGTACATATAACTTATGTTAATTTTATACAGCATCTTTAGTGCACTTCGGTTTGAGTACCACCCATCAGCCTGTGCTTTGCAGACTTGGAGTGTTCAGTTTCCATGAAGAAGTGTTATTCATTCGTGCTCTATAGGGCTGGAGAGATGGCTTAGAGCTTAGAGCACTGACTGCTTAGTTGACCAGGGTTCGATTCCCAGCACCCACATGCCAGCACACAACTGTCTGTAACTTCAGTTCCAGGGGACCTGACACTCATAACAAAATACCAATGCACACAAAACAAAACAAAATCAATGACAAAAATCAACACCCCAAACCATTCATGCTCTATCGACGTCACCAGAACTCTTGGCTGGAGCAATAGTCCTCTCAGAACCTCTGTCATGGATTTTATTGGCTCACTTGACTGGGAAATTCAGGGTTTCTTGTCTCAGTTTGGTTGGATTGTTGGAAACTGATGGTACTTGAAAGTTCTATTTCTTGTTGGTGGAATCCTCAGAAAGATGGTCAGTATATGATAAGGTTTGTCAGAGTCTCAGGGTGACCTTGGCAACCCCATCTTCATATAAAGAGTTCTCTCCCTTGCTGGGTTTAGCAGGAAGGCAGGCCTTGGTGCTCATTGGGCTGGCTTGTACCATGTGCCCCACCCTGATAACCTTGCTGCCTGGGAAGAACTCTGATTGGCCAAGCCTGCATCAGGTACTAAGTTCTATTCTGGACCAGCAAATTCAAAGGGCAAGAGAGAGGAAACGGTCCCCAGTGTTTGAGGGTTATTCCAACTCTCAGAAGTCTTCTCTAGCACTGGGAGGAGGGGGAAATGGAAGCTCCTAGAAGCAAGTGCAGTTAAGTGGTATTGAATTTGAACCCCAACATTGGTCACACTAGAGCAAGGGCTCCTGATTCTTGGATTCCCTGGGTTATTGAACTGCCCAGAAAATAAGTGTGACATTGAGTATCGGCAGTGAGACTTTCTCTCAGAATTTTCTCTTTCTTGCAACCTTGTGGCTTTGGAGAAACCTGCCCAGTGGGCCTGCGCTTCAGTTCAGCCCTCTGTCAGTGAGGGTGCGGGATACCTCACAGCGTTAGGGCTTGGTGAAATGCAGTCTCACGGCACATAGTCACCTTCAAAGATGACTTACAGCCACTTGTACGAAGTAGGTGCTTAGAGCACATGCTGGGATCCCACGGAAGTAAAACACTTCTAGAGGCTCTGTTTATTTTCGCGGCAGCTCACGGAAGAATGAATGCAGCTTCTCAAAGCACCCCACCTTTCCTTGGGAGGAAGTGTCCCCTAGATTTTAGGCTGTGATGTACTAAGCCTTCTTTTATGCCGGCGATTTGGAGGTGACCCTTCAGTAGCCACCACCCTGCGTGCTGTGACATTTTGCCTCTCCTCGTTAAGGTGTTTCTTGGGAGCACTGCACAGCGTGGGTGTTCCTGTATTTCTTTACCACTAGAAGCAGTCAGGGTTGAGGCTTTCAAAGAAAGGAGGAATAAAAAGGAATGCCTGCTTTGCTTTATTCCCCCTGGGAGGCAGACTGCTGAGTTGAATTAATGGTCTGCATTCTCCTCTGGGGCTTGATGGTGAAGTCAGCCAGTGCTAGGGTTCATCTGGGAACTGTGGCCAGTTTGGTTACCAGGACCTCAGACTGTGGAGGCGACCCTTGCAGTGCTGATTGCTTTTGAAAATAATTTCCCATGATTGACTCAACACTCACCCTGCCTGCCTCACACACAGGCCAGTTGCTTTTAATTAGGAAAATGTGTTGTCTCTGATTCGGGCTTCAGCAAAGTCATCCCGTTTCTTTTCCCCAAGTCCCTTTCAACTTTTTCTTTCAAGCTGATGAGTTAAAATTAATTATGGATATTAATTAGTGGCCGAGTTTGCAATACGGTCCAAGGGTTCCTGTTGCCCCTCCGCCTCCCTACTCCACTTTCCAACCCAGTCCTCCTGGATTGCTGTGTCCCTTCAGTAGCTCAGGGCAAAGGCGCCCATGCCAAGTCCCTCTGTTCTCATGCATTTAAAACCCCCAAGAAAGTGCTGAGATGACAGGGCCTGTCATCTCTGTCTCCCCTGAACCTCCAGGGAATTGAGAAGGGACTCTTTTTTTTTTTTCTGTTAATAGAAGTGGGCATGCAGAGAGAGAGATTTCTACCTAAGAACGGATTTCTAGGGCTGGAGATGCAGTTCAGCGGGTAGAGTACCTGCCTAGAATGCACAAAGCCCTGGGTTTGACCCCTATACTGTGTTAACTGGGTATGGCAGTGCACGCCCATAATCCTAGCACTTGGGAGGTGGAGACAGGAGGATCAGAAGTTCAATGTCATCCTTGCCTGCAGAGTGCCAGAGGCCAAAATTCTCAGATATAGTATAAAACTGTCTCAAAGTAAATACATAAAAACCCTAAAGCCAACTAACGAACTAACTCAACAGCAACAAACCGCAGGGGAAACCAAGGAAGAAAAGAAGGAAGATTTTCAGAAATCTGGCCTGTGCTTGGAGAATGGGCATAATGTCTTTCTAGGCTTCCCTTCCAGGCTGTTGAAGGACCAGAAGTTGTGGGGCAAGTGAGTTTGTCTCCCTGAAAAGAGGCCATCTATAGTGTGACTCCACCCACTGCCCCCCCCCACCGCCCCAACGCCCTCAGGAGATTGAAGGGAGAGATTCCTATTCTTAGGCTGCCCACTTCTTCCATGGTACACTCCTAGGGCACTGACCCTTCTTCCCAAAGAGGCCCTGTCTAGAAGAAGCCCGTCAGGGACATCTCGCACCTGAGTAAAGATGCCAGCCTCATTCATCAAACCACCTGTCATCAGGCTGAAACATGACAAGTAGCTGTTTTTGCAACCGAACAGTGGATTCCTGAGACAGCCAGGCCTGCCCACCACAAGGAAGCGGCCAAGAGCCTGCCCGCCACCTCCTGGCCCCTGAAGCCCGCCCCAGCCTGCTCTTCCCATTTGTACTTGACTTCACGCTGGACCCTGCAGACACGTGCACCGGACAGTGGGTCAGAGGGAAGTCTCCCTGCATGGTGCCCACGTGCCTACGCTTCCCTACAGCTGTCCTCTCCACAGGCATGGTGGACGTTGGCTGAGCTGCACTGTTCTCATGGGCTTGCATGGCCTCGGGACGTGTCTTTATTGTTTTTACACCTGTTTGACGGTGCTGGGCCAAGTTGCTCTGTGTAGCCCAGGAGAGATCCTTATGAATCTGGCGATTATTTCCCAGCCCCAGGTCTTGCCAGTCTGGTGTGCTCTGAGCCGCGCCCCTGGGTCCTTGCACTGCGGTCCGAAGTCTCTGCCGGCTGCCGATCTCTCCTCTTCTGTAATATTTCTCTTGGCCTCCGCTGTTCTGCCTTGTGGGGGACTGCGGTGCCACTTGCTCGGTCCATTGCGAGGTCAATGCATGGAAGGCCTGGAAGGATGATGTCCTTTGGCAATTCTTGGTTCTGCGGCAGCTACTTCTTCAGAAGCCCTCCGTGGCACATCTGGGGAGGAGAGGAACACTGATGTCGTTTCAAGTCGTCTGATGAGTCTGATGCTGTGACTTTGAACTGGTCTTTGTTTTACCAGATGATCACTGGAATTTTACTGTTGCTTTTTTCTTTTTGCAAGGGAGGGGGTTTTTCCTTTGGTGGCTCTGGGCTTGGAAACTGGGACCTCATGCATGTTGGGTGACTGCTTTGCCGCTGAGCTATATAGTTCAGTCTTTGCTATCACTGCTCTCAGATAACGGGAGATTTTGTTGATGCTGCCTCTGCCTATGACATAGCAAGTCCTCGGGACTGAGCATCCTGGGGCACGGTTCTGTCATTGCTCTGTTGCCACCTGGGACTAAATCCAAAATCTGAAACGCTTGTGATCTGGTCCTGAGCATTTTGATTCTCCACCTTAATAAAGCAGAACAGGCAGGCGTAAGATACCCAGTAAGTTATAGTGATGACCAGCCATGGGAGGGTCCAGGGAGTCAGGAGACACCACAGTCCAGGAAGTGACAGACTGAAAGGAAGTCGCAGCCAGTTCATGACCTCTTGGTGCGTAAGGGAATGGTGTCTGTTTTAAGGCATGCAGCCGAGAGGAGATCATATACCGAGGAACTGGCATGTGTGCAGCCTTGAAATCTTGGAACTGCACTGGACTGGGGCCTTCTTGTGGCTCTAGTACTGATGTACCAGTATAAACCACAAGGAGCTGGCACCTCCTGCACCCCCCTCAATGGCACGTTGTTCCACGGGTGGAGTGAGTGGGAGCCAGAGAGGGAGCCAGAGACATTCCACTGGATAAGATGGGGCGTAGAAGCCCAGAGATAAGACAAGGACAGCTAAGCCCCTGAAAAGAGGTGTCATCGAAGGAGCTACTGTTTTGTTTTTGTCCTTGTCATTTGAGGAAAAGGGGGGGATAGGAGTGAGGATGTCCTCTTTGAAAGGACATGGTTGGCAGCAAGTGTCTTTGCCTGCTGAGCCATCTCGCTGGCCCTGCCCTCCTGTCTTGGAGCCGAGAACTATATGGGGTGGCTGAGGGTCAGCTTTGCTTGCCATGTTAAGCTTCTAGCAGCCAGCCCTTCTTGAAGGTGTGTCTTGAGGCTGGTACCAAGTGTTCATGTCAGCGTGTCCCTGGGTTGCCTGGCATCCTGGAGGCCAAAAGACAGACGTGGGCTCTGTTTGGAGCAAAGGCGTCCCTGCCTCTGGTCCTCCCCAGACAGCACCTGTGGCTCCTGTGTGCTCAGACCTGCCCTGGACAGTGTGTCACTTGTTCCTGATGGTTCTGACCTGGAGTCTGGATGGAGCACTAGTGGCCTTTAGGTGGCACTGCTGGTGACTCCTCAGATTGGTGCGTCGGCTGCCCGTGAGTCCGACACTGTGTCCATGGGCCCTATCATTGGCCTTGGGGCTAGAGAAGTTTGTGTTTTCATTGTTTTGTTTTTACCTCTAACACTGCACCTTCGCCTTCCTCTGCCCCCACTTGGACAAACCTGCGGTTTCTTCTTTTCTCCCATTTGAGTGGGTATGTTCTTATGAAATTTTAGCTGTATACTCTTTATTTTTTTTTAAACCTGACCTTCCTCAGACCTCTCTTCTAAACAGATATCAATGGTGGTATGTGTAAGAGGATTTTTTTTTTTTTGCTGCCTGTCAATCTATAAAAACAAAACACACCAATAATTGGGTCAGCATCATTCCACGTGGAAGCCAGGGCAGCGAACCCTGAGCTACAGAAACAAGCATTCCAAAGGTCAGTGACCTTCACAAATATTTATACACTCTTTGCCAGCACTCACCATGGAACTATAAGGAAACACAAGCTGGGCCTGAGAATATCCGTAGGAAAGGAAACAGGAGGATTGAATTCCTGCTTTTCCTCTCTCTGGCCCCAGTCCTTAATAACAAAAACGTCAATGTCTGGCTCTAAAAGAAATAGCTTCTCTTTCCAGAAAGTTCTCTGTGCTGAGCACTGAGGGAGTCAGTCCAGGCGTGCTCGCAGACAGCTGGGACAGCTGGGAAGTGGACAGAGTTCTTGGGTTACATGATGTTAGGCCTGCTGCAGAGCGGAAGCTAGGAATCCAGGGGTGAAGGAGTTGTCCCTGTGTTCTCACCCCAGTTCTCACACACTGACCAACCGGGTGACCTTTAGTTCACTTCTAACATGAGCCAGCTCATTCGAGCAAGGTCCCCAGAAGGAATGCCATTCCCTATCAGACACTAACTATCCTGAGGTCTCCACGCCACCCATGTTTGTGTCTGGTTTTCCACTTCTGTGCCCACTCCTTCATATTTAATCGTTTTCTCCAGAAGGCTGTCTTTATGATTACCATTTTGTTATAAACTCAGGAATAGCCAAATCAGAGATCTAGAACAAGGTGGAGTGGGGCCTGGGGTCCTGGAGTTTCTGTCCCCTCTCCATGTGCACGGCTCTCTCATAGCCTCGGAATATACACTCATCTGGGTATGTCGCCGCACCTGATGGTCCAGGATTTCTATGTGGTGGCTCAGTCCATTTTTGTGTTGCTATAACCAAGTATCTGAGACTGGGTACTTGATGAGAAAAAGCTTATTTTAGCTCATGGTTTGGAAGCTGAAAGGTTTGGCCAGGTACGTGTGATAAAGACCTCATGAAGTGTCACAAGATAGAATCTAAGGACAGAAATGATACACACAGAAGACAGTAAACATGGGGTATTGGTGGAGGTTTCTGTCCTGCCCGGTCCAGCAATAAACACACAGAAACTATATTATTTACAGTACTGTTTGGCCAATAGCTTAAGCATGTTGCTAGCTAACTCTTACGTCTTAAATTAACCCATTTCTATTACTTCATATTTTACCATGAGGGTCATGCCATTTCTAGTATTTTATATTTTACCACAAGGCTAGCGACTTACCAGCAAGGTTCCAGCTAGCAGTTCATGTCTTTCTCCTCTGGCTCCATAGCTTCTCACTGACTCTACCTTCTTTCTCCCAGCATACAGTTTAGTTTTCTCATCTAGCTCTGCTCTATCACAGGCCAAAGCAGCTTCTTTATTCATTAACCAATAAAAGCAACACATACAGAAGGACTTCCCACATCAATGGGGTGTCCTTGTTTTATAGAGGAATCTACTGTCAAGGTAACTGATCCAGTCACTAGAAAGGCGTGTAGCACCTTGTGAAGTGGTGCCTCATGACACCGTTACCTCCTGTGAGGCCCACTTTTGTTCTACCCTCATACCTTATCCTGAGGACCAAGTTTCCGGCATACAAACCTTTGAACAACATACCATGTATGACCCATAGGATATGGGATTTTGTTGTGCACAATCAAATCATTGGTCACATGATTATACTCAATCTCCATAGGTGAGGCAGGCTCAGAACTCTAACCTTATTATGTGTTAGGGTTTTCTGGTGAGCAGCACCCATCTTGAAGTTTTCTAGGGGCCTACAATGAAGGATATAGGTGTGGGTGTGTGGTGGGGGTCTTGTTAACATAACAAAGACATCCTCTCAGCAAATTCCAAGGGCTTTCTATGCCCTCTGCTAAGAAATAGAGACAAATATATATATTTGAGACAGGGCTTCACTTTGTAGCCCTGGCTGAACCAGAACTCATTTTGAAGCCCAGGCTGGCTTTGAACTCATGGTGAGTGCTCCTGCCTCAAATTTCCCAGGTTCCTAAATACTGGGATTACAGGTGTGTACTACCACGCCTGATCATGCACAGTTCTAATTATTCTGCACCTGATCTCTGAAGGAAATTTATTTAGAAATCTCCACTTTTTATATGGCCAGTGATTCTAAGATTAATATCTAAAAGATTTTGAGGAAGTTTGGAGGAAGGACAAGCCAGAACTAGATAAATTAAGGCCATTCCAGATGAGTACCGAAGTCAGGGATCATACAGTTGACCAGGACAGTTGCAAAAGTACAAGGACCTAGGGCCTTGGAATATTCAGAAGACTGAACCCATGCACCCAGCTGGCAGGAAAGAGAGATCCGAGGTCCCAAGGAAAGTGAGGAGATCCTGGCATGTATGAGAGGAAAGCCCTTATGTATGTTTTTAAGTGAAGGAATTAATGAGTACCTCTTTTTTTTTTTTTTTAATCTCCTCCAACAGACTACAACAGCAGTGAATTAAAAACAGCCTGCAAAAAGCACGAGCTTTATGTGAGCTTCCAGGACCTGGGATGGCAGGTGAGTCCACGTGAGCTTCCAGGACCTGGGATGGCAGGTGAGTCCCCAGAATAAGGATGGGCCTCCATGGGTACCTTGTTCATACCTCACCCATGGCTGCTGCCATCAGCTTCCAGGAGAAGCTGATTCGGGAATCCCAGGAGCTCTCAAATACTCAGGCTGCTGAAGTAAGGCAGGAAAACCTTGTGCCCCTTTATGTGTTTCTCTCTTTCCTTATTCTTTCAAAGCCTGAGGGGCATTTGGACATTTAAGCAACTTTTACTTTGAAACAGGATTACAAAAAAAAAAAAAAAAGAATCTGATGATTAATAATTTCCCCAGTAGCTCTAAATTGGCTCATACCAAGTCCAGCTAAGTGTGCTGAGAAATGGGAGATAGGAGTTGTTCTCTATGTAGGTGGCGTTACATTGACAGGGCTGTAATGGGATCCTGCGGATGACCCTTTGGGTCTAATTTGGCACGACACATCCTGACCTACAATGTTTTAACCGCCCATTTTTTCAGCTATATGACGATGTAGATGTTCTCTAGATACAGTGCCCTGAGTTTTGAGGTTGAGTCTATCTGGGCTGGAGTCTCCTCGTCGTTGACCATGACGGGTGGCAGCAGCTCTCAGCCAGCCCCACAATGCACTGTGCCTAAGATAGGATGCTCGCTATTTTAGGTGTATAATGGGCATTTCCAGCTGGCGTTTTATTAAAATGTAACCCCCATCCTAAGTCAAGGAGCACTTAGTAAACAGTCTTTTTGTCCAACCGTCTCGTCTCAAATAACCAACGCAGAGGCTTATATTAATTAAAAATGCTCGGCTGATAGCTCAGGCTTGTTATTACCTAACTCTTACATTTAAATTAACCTATTTCTATAATCTATATATTGCCATGTATCTTATGGCTTTACCTATCCTCCAGCATGCCTTGCTTCTTAGGCCACTGGCTGGCTTCTCTCCCGACTCCACCCTCCTTCCCATCATTCTCAGTTTGGATTTCCTGCCTAACTTCCTACCCAGGTACCAGCTTGTCAGCTTTTTATTAGCCAATGAGAGCAATACATATTCATAGTGTAGAAAAGATTCCTCCACGGCAGCATTTGTCCATCAGGCCAGCCACAAGCTCAATCAGATCTAACAGGTTTGCCACAGCTAAGTCACATGAGCCCATGGAAAGACCGGGGCTCTAGGGTCAGACCAACCACATTCATACCTTAGCATCACTTGAATGTGAACTTGGGCAGTTCCCAAACTTCTCTGCCTGTCCCCACACTGTGCGCCATGACCAGGGTCTTCTCTTGGGGGTGACTGAGAGTGCAGATGATGTAGGGGTACCTGGTGATCTTTCACTGCCGTTTGCTTTATCTCAAGGACTGGATCATTGCACCCAAAGGCTATGCTGCCAATTACTGTGATGGAGAGTGTTCCTTCCCACTCAACGCGCACATGAATGCCACCAACCACGCCATCGTCCAGACCTTGGTGAGTGCCCTGACTTGGCAGTAAGAATGACAACCTGGTCTGGGCTCGAGCCTGCTAACAGTGCCCGCTCCCACTTCTATTTTGGAACAGGTTCACCTTATGAATCCCGAGTACGTGCCCAAGCCATGCTGTGCACCGACTAAGCTCAATGCCATCTCGGTTCTTTACTTTGACGATAACTCCAACGTCATCTTGAAAAAATACAGGAATATGGTCGTGAGAGCTTGCGGATGCCATTAAGGCGAAGCCCATTGCTAGTGACTCTGCCTTGGATTCCTGCCTAAATCTGCCTTAACACACACGAAGAAGCACAGCGAAGTGGGACGATGGCACTGGAAGCGTCTCCCGCTGGTGCCTTTGCCCAAGGGGGATCTTAGGAAGACCTTGCTGACGACGTCCCCAGGTCATACCTGAGCAGTTGCTGTCTGTAGGAAGTTGTAGTGCTTTCAGTACAGGCCTGGTAACTGCAGACCACTGCCCCCGGTCCCACCCAGACTAGTTTTAGCATTTAGATCTAGCTGTTTGCAGTATAAGTAGAGAATAACCTCGAAGGAATATGAAATACACCTGACGGAAAGAACGGCTGGTTCAGTAGCACTGGGAGATTCTGCAGGTAACAGAATGTAGAGGAAAGGGGAGCTCTATCAGATTCCATTCCCAGCAAGGCCAGCTCACCCTAGACCTGCATTCTGACCACCAGCATGCTCTGGGGAGGTGCCTTTTGTCTGCTGTTGCGGTCACATGGTTTTTGTTGTTATTGGTGGTGGTGTGAAAATGTACTAATTTCAGTCGAAACAAACTGAAGCACTCGTGCACCCCCTTCTTCCCTAAAGTCTTTACTAGAACCCAAAGTAGAAGGGCCATACTGTGTGGTAGGGCGTGAAGCATCTGCAGCAGCCTTCCTCTAAGCCACGGACCAGCAGAAAGTGACTGCAGCTCTCAGCGGGCTCGACAAGCACGTTCACACAGGAACACCGGCTCCCCACACCAGCTCTCCAACTGCTCTTTGCCTTTTCCCTACGGTAGCACCCACGGCTCAGGACTAGTCTGCAGCAGAGACCCAGAGGAAGGGCCCTGCCTCTAAGAATGGGTTTGTCGAGGTGAGCATGTTATTTGTGAACCAAAACCACAGTTTCCTCTTGTAGAAAGTAAGAATCAGATTAAATCTTAGGATATTTTTTAGATGTCTTTTTCACAATCATGTACTGGGAAGCAATTTCGTACTAAACTGATTAAATAATACATTTATAATCTGTAACTGTACTTACAGCTTTTTTTGTAAATAGAAACTATAATTTATTGTCTATTTTATATCCATTTTGCTGTAACATTTAAGCAAAGACCAGACCTTTTCTTTAAAAAAAATTTATTTAGAAAGTATAAACCAATTGTACCACTTGAGTTTTCTTTTAATACAAGACTCATGATGCAAAGCTGAAGCCACGGTGAGCTGGGCCTCAAGGACAGCTGTGAACCACACATGATTAATAATAAATGTCTGGAAGGGGCCGGCAGGGTGCCGTTGCTGATGAGGAAGTAGATGTGGTCTTGTTTCTAGTCCCCTTACAATTCATTCTGTGCTAGGTGCTGAGTTCACCTGCTCACGGAAGGTGGGTGCAGGGTCTGGGCACAAAGTGCTCCTGAGGACAAGCAACTCAATGCGAAAGACAGAGGCTCGCCACGAGCCTTAGCTGCATCTCTGTACAGGTGAGAGCGGCAATGTCTACCATCCAGGACGACAAGAATGAGAAGGAGCTAGTGTGATATCCAGCCTTGGGCAGTCTTTGGTCTGGAGGTCAGATGGATCCTCCTGCTCATACAGTACAAGGTCAGCCTCCGTGAAGGTGGACATCAGAGAGCAAGCTGCTGAGAGGAGTGCTTGGGAAGAGGATCAGAGCTGTAGCTAGAAAGGCCAGACAGAAGCTGCAGCATCTCCCTGGGCCTGAAAAGCCCATCGGGTGCTTTTGCCCTAGGAGGCAAATAGAATGGTGGTGACCACTGTGTGGCCCCTCCCACACCCTCACTTCCTGCAGAAGATAGCTACACCTTCCACCTATGCCAAGCAGACAAGAGGATCCTTTGAACCTACATCAAAGTGCCATTCACATGGCTGCCGTGGCTTACCTCTCTCAATGAGAGAAGTACTGACAGCCAGGAGCCCAACCTTAGCTTTGAAGGTATTTCTAAAATTCTGTGGATTTTTGTTTTGTTTTAAAATCTCCACAAACTATGGACCACCATATTATAAAGTCAACTGTGACCTTCAGATCAGAGGGACATCAATGTGCCACAGGCCACCTTTCCAGAATTCAGGCAGTTCAAAAACCTGCTTTGGATGATGCATTTCTGCCACATCCCTCAGGAGCCAACAGGGGTCAGCAATTTGGTTTTCCTTAACTATATTTTTGTTGCAAGGGAAGCCAATTTAATTTTGTCAAGAGAAGGTTACAGGACGGATTGCCACTGAAAATATTTGCCCGGGGACCATGAGCTATGATTAGAGAAACACAACCAAGGTCCGTAGTGTGTGGTGGCTGAAGCAGCACACATGGGGACGCTACACAGGCTTAGTACACGCAGCTTTCTGACTAACCCCAGCAGGAACGCGGGTGTCTGTCGGCTGTCACTCCTCTGCACAAGGTGAGGAAGCCAGGATGCACGACTTCCGGGGGTTTCTAGAGTTCATCCTTTGCCTGGCGCAGGACAAAGCTGTGTAAAGAATCAAGGTCTCTACCTCCGTTGTGCTCACCCACTTTTTCACCTCCTCGGAAAAGCAGCAATGTGGGATAGCCTCGTACCTTTAAAAGAGGGGAAAGTACTTTAAATCACACAAATTGTTCCTTGAAAACTGGGTGGCAGGAGAGATGGCTCAGTCAGTAAATGACACCCACATATGTAAGTATGAGGACTTGAATTTGGATCTCCAGCACACATAAAATTCAGGTTCTGGGGTACCCATCTGTAATTCCCGTGTTGGAACTGACTGAGTCCAGGAGTTGAGACTGGGCAGCCTAGCCAATCAGGTCTAGGTTTAGTGAAAGATCCTATCTCAAAAATAAGGTGGACAGCGACTAAGAAAGACATCGGACACCAGCTCTTGGGAGTTCACACATATGAGCACAGAGGTAAGGTTGGGAGATTCTGTGACTATTATCAGTAGTACAGGATGATTGGGGTATGTATGAGGCTGGTTCCATGCCCATCACCACACAAGAACGAATATAAACACCCCATAGCATCCATCGTGTGATGAGCACAGAAGAAACTCATCAGGTAGACAGACTGGTCCTCCAGTCATGGCCTTTTCCGAGGGTGGTTTAGGTTTATAGATTTCTTTAGCTCCATCCTTCAGGATGTTTGTTTATAACCGACGCTGAGCCCTCGGGTGGCTAGGGCAGGGCACCAGGCGGGGTCATGATGGCAGCAGCACACTTCTCTCAGCGCTTGGCACCTCAATACTGTACACTAGACCCAGCAAGGCCCAGAGCTTTCTCTGTGGCAGAGAAGGCTGGCCTTTCAGAGTGGCACAACTCAAGATAGAAGCCACTCTCTAGAGAGGCCTGGTCAGTGAACTCATTCCGTGCTGCCGACTGACAGCCCCAGAGGTACCCACCGAGTACTTGCTGCAGATATTCCGTTCAGCAGTGCAGTCCACTTCTGCAATGGTAACATCTGCCAAGCCAGGGAATTCCTTTTTAGAGAGCTCCTCCCAGGTAGGAGCCAGATTCTTACAGTGCCCACACCTAGAAGAGAACAGGGGCATCTAGGCTGAGATCTGGGTCAAGGTCAGTCTGTTTCTCCTGCATGACCATCACAACAGTATCAGAATCCATATCATCACTTTCTCCCCTGGGTACATAGGGGCCCTTCCTTTCCTAAAAAGGAACTGGAAGTCATGCCACATTTGGTAACCTCACCAGTATGGTGAGTAGAACGACAGGGTGGACAGTTTAGACTGGACTGCCCTGGTGTAGATTCCTGGATACTTCAGCCACAGCAAAGTTAGGCCAAATCTTGCCTTTTGTGCTGATAGGCACTATTTCTGTCTGTCCTCCCAAAGGAGGGTCTTCTTCCTTAAAGACTAACTCTAATGGCATCATGTGGGAGCATTTCTTTTTGGTTCTTTTCTGCAGCCCAAGCTGGCCATGAACTCAGAGTCCTCCAGCCTTTGCCTCCCTCGAGCTAGGATTTCAGGCATGAATCACCATGCTGCCTTTCTATTCAAGGGCAAAAGCTGCCCAAGTCATGCGTCATAGCCTCATTAACCTTACGCCCCCGAGTACACGGAGTGGACAAGCAGATAAGAGTGACCTAGTGACCTCGCATCTAACACTCTTCCCCAGACTCTGGTTCTTCAAATGACTGTTGTACTTTTGAAGATAAATTGATGGTGCAATTTTATAGCTAAGGAAAAGAGGCCCAGGGCATCAAAGGACATGCGGAGTTCCAGCCATTCATGAAAGCTATCTTCCTCCAATGCCGGCTATCTAGGTCTCAGTTTGCTCTCCATCTACTCTTATTCTGGTCCCTGAGGATCACATGGCAGGAAGGTTCGGGTAACTAGGTCATGTACTGAATGGCTTTAAGAGAAAGCTGAGCTCTCCGGAACTTTTTATACGTCCATCCCAATTCACTTCCATTTCTGTTTGTGCCTAAGGAGATTGAGCTTTAAAGTAGATTAATGTTTTTCTCTATAAAATAACTGTTGTTAGCCAGGGTACAGTGGCGTCATTCCCTGCAAGATGGTCTGTGTAAATGACTCTTGCCCACGCAGCTGAGAAACACACTGTGTGGCAGGATGCACTAGATCATATCGAAGATGGCCACTTACCAAGGAGCATAGAACTTGATGAAGGTTATCCCCTGTGCAATGGTGTCTTCAAAGTTCTTTTCGGTGAGTGCCAGCACAGTGCCCTTCAAGGGAGGAAGGTCAATTTAAAGACACTGATAAAAGAGAACAGGGCAGAAAGATGGAATCTGGCCAGAGCTATCTGCAAGTTATATGCAGGGCAGACACACTATCACAGACTGCCGGGGACTGTGGGCAGTAGGCTGAGATAGCCCTCTAGGCCTCTGCGCTGAGGACCAGTCCATTCTAGGCTTAAGCCTATAGCTCCCAAGCCTGCAGCTCAAGACGCCTATGGATCTGCAGGAACTAACTGCTAATGCCATTTTCTCGTCCTGCCTATCTTCAAGCATTTCTCTTCAACAGGAACCGAGAACATAGATGGGATAGCTGGTTATAATTTCATAGGCTATGTATTCTGATTTGCAGGCTGGGGGATGTCATACAGGCATTTTAAAGCATTTCTGCCTTACAGTTCTTCAGCTCTCATCTGTATTTCTCTAAGAGGGTGCCACTGTGGAGCAATGACTTCATAGCTCTGTGTACTGGTGGAGACTCCCAGACTGAGTGGGCCACTACCATCCTTATGTCCACAGTGAGCAGCCAGATTGGTGATGGAAAACTTGGTTATAAACAGCCATGGTGTATAAAGACAGCCCTGTGGGGTGTAATTCCCCGCTAAGAGGACCATCGTGAGACACATATTCCTCTAATATTTGTATGTGGTCATACTTCAGGCTACCCGTGACCAGTAAGAGCACAGCTAAGGAACGGGTCCCTTGCTGCCCCCCTAAGGGGTAGGGGCAACTGACACCACAGATTTTTTTTTCCAGTTTCCATGGCCTGGGTTTTCAAGCGTCGGCCCCAGTGAGTCTCCCTCTCTGCCACCACTGGGTAAATCGGAGTCACCTCCTTCCCTTGCTTCCTGCTCCCCAGGAACTATCCTCACTTGGGTGAGATCCTTAGCCTCCCTCCTCCTACCCCCATTATCTCACCCCTACTTTGGGGTCTCCTCTGGTCTCAGATCTCCCTACCCCAGCAGCTGCAGCTCATCTTCCTGAAGGTGACTGCTCAAACTTGCTAGGGCTCCACCTCCAGCTCCTATCCCTCCCCGTCTTGGGCACCCCACTGTACTCCTGGAACTGGGTCCTCAGTGACTGCCTGTGGCCCTGCTCTGAACACAACTGCTGGCTTTCCTGACGGTAGCTGGCTCACAAGCGCCCCCCTCTGGTAACTGTTGAGCTGTAGGCTCTCTAAGCCAGCTCTCTGCACACAGGCTTGTCACAGCCTCCTGCCACCTGCTCACACAATTCTCTCATCCTTTCCCAGTCTCTGCAGGGCGTGGGTCTCTGGAGGAAACAGTTGGAAGGGTTTTTGTTTGTTCTCCCTGGCACCCCATGGCAGTACCTAGAATGTGTCTGAAACTTGCTAAATGCAGAACTAAATGTCTAAAACCGAAGATCCTTTGGGGTTGGAGAAATGGCTCAGTGGTTAAGAGCTGCTCTTGCAGAGGACCCAAGTTTGGTTATCAGCACCCATATTAAGCAGCTCAGAGCGGCCTGTGGTTCCTGTCTAGAGGTCAGATGCCTCTGGCAGGCACCTGCACGTACACACTCCCATCTATGAACTGAATTAAAGTGATAAAAATAAATCTTAAAGCCCAGGAGCCTTGAATGAGTAAGGGCAGAGGCTGCCCAAACACACATGAAATAGTCTGTGATCTGCTGACCAAGCCCCTGTGCTGCCCTTCCTGCCGCAGATCTCCCAGGAGCCTCTGCTTCAGGGTCAGAGTAAAATGACGGCAGTCAGTTCTGGAGTAAACAGAATGGGGCCAGGGTTGCAGGAAAGGCTTCACATATACTGTCCCCAAGAAACTAGGGCAAAAAGGCAAACTCTGGAGGGATTTTCTCACATATTATAGCTCAGGTTTTTCAAGGGAAGCCTCTGCTGACCTTGGCCATGCACAGCATGTAATAGTAGACAAGAAATCATTCTGCACTGAGAAGTCTCTGAAGACGGGCAGAACCATCTCCCTCCATCCTGACAGACACCCACCTTGTCAGCTGTGGGTTCAGCAGCCAGCTCTGGGGCCTCTGAGGGCTCGATGGTCTCTGGGGCCACCTCTGGACCCTGCAGTTGTGACTCCACATAGTCTCTCAGTGACTCCAAGTCCCGCTTCCCCTTGTACTGGTCCACCTGTCCAAGACACGGGCCACAGCGATGCTGTCGGCGTTCTCAGTCACATGCCCACCCACCCCATTGGTCCAGCTGGGCACTGCCAGGGCTCTCAGCTCCAGCTGTGTCTCTTGTGGATCTGCCTGCTCCCATTCAGACAGGAAATGCACCCACTCCCTACCCCTGCACACACAAGCTGTACATCCTCAGAGTTTAAAGTAGAGACTGGCCATCTATCTATCCATCCATCCCATTTCCCTGAGAATTCTGAGACGCTGACCATGGGCAAGGCATGGAAGGGGCAGAGGACAGAATCCCACCCCACTGAGAGCTAGCAGTAATGCCGTTCCAAAGCCTGGAAGGTCTGTTCATCCCAGAGCACAAGCGTCCTGCACAGGTGTCATAGCCAATAAAAACCCAAGCTACCAAAAATCCCTCAGAGCAGTTTGACAAACGTCAGCTTTCCTGTTCACTAGGTCTTATCAGTTAGGGAGCACACATCACACTCCACTGTGCACATTTCCTAACCCTGTGACCGCAGCACCTCGGCCGCACTGGCGAGTGCAATGGTTACCCCATCCACACAGGAGGTGAAGGCGCACCTTCTTGCCATCTCGGAACCACAGCAGAGTGGGATAGCCTCGAACCTGGTTTTCTGAGCAGAGCCCATAGTGCTGTGTGCAGTCAACCTGTGAACAAAGAACACAGCACCAGTTAGTGTCTTCAGAGCCTAGGAAAAGGCATTATCAGAATTTATACTTTACAAAAACAAACAAAAAAAAGGTTTGAATCCAGATTCCACAGCATCTGTGGCAGTCTGTTGCAAGTTAGAAAGACTTTGCCTAGAAGCCGTGCACACCACCACCCACGCTAATGGCACATGCTGACAAGACTGTCTTAAGACACAGGATTCATTTGAATTCCACTAAAAATGGCAGGTTTAGGAAGCCTCGCCTGACACCTGGGAAGGGCGTGGCGTGAGCCAGGCAGCTGTGAGGGAGATGCTCACCCGGGCAGTTCCCAATGCCATGGAAGCTTACTGTCCCTTGTAGCTCTACCATTTCAGATCAAGACAGGGGACACAGTTCAGTGACGTGCATGGGCCCCTGTGCATGTACCCCCAGAAGTGGGAGCAAGCAGTTCACGTTTAATAAGAACATCTGCTAAGTGTAGCACTATAACTTGTCCCAGTAAGAATTACAGGAGCCATTTATTTTGGTGGGGACTGAACCCAGGTCCCTGTGTATATGAGGCAAGCACTCTACTGCTGAGCTACCTCCCCTGCCCTTGTTAAAATATTTTTATTTTGAGATACAGTCAGTAAATTGCTACAGCTGGCTTTGAATTTGTGACCCTCCTGCCTCAGACTCCAGAATAGCTGGGGTTAGAGACCTGTCCCATCAGGCCTGGCTCAGATTACTACATGTAAATCAAGATTCTGCTTGCCTGATATTTTTAACAAACATTTTAAAAATTTGTATCAGCATTAAAATTAGCCAAGCAGAACTAAGCCGTTTTTTAGTATGTCAATAAAGGGTTTAAACTATGTTAAGCTGTCAGGCTGCTGTGAGAGCCGTTAAGGTGTTAAAATGAAGTCCAGGAAGCTTTAAGCTGGGTCTGTGAGGGGCACAAGCACGCTCCAGGGTCCTGTCTAAAGTAGCTCCAAGTGCCCGGCCATGACGGCCCCTCACAGCCTGAGGCTGCTCATGCCTGCTTCTGCTCCAGCCTGGGTAAATCACCTCCCATAAAAACTCGCAAAATAATCTGAAGTAAGAATACAAAGACTGGAACAAGACAGAATGCACGGGGATGCACTTAGGTCCACACACTCTTCAATGACAGAAAGAAGCACAGCATGGCAAGCACAGGAGAAAACCCACACCCTGCACACTGAGAATTACAATTTCCTCAGCATCGCCCCGCCCCAGGGGCCATGCTACGTAGCAAATTCTCATCTTCATGACTACATGATTCGCCTTGTTTCCCTTCTGCAAAGTGGCAACTGAGGAGAGACATTTCAACCAAGGCCAGCCTACCAGGTCTACCCAACCCACCCTGAGGTTCTGCCTCTGACTCTCATAACCAGATAAGTAGCTCTGTTTCTGTATGCAAAGTGACAGAGTGGAAAAGGGAGATTTTCTCTAGAGGCTTTCCATAAAGAGTGAGTGTCTGGTGAGTGTCAGAAAAATCAATGAGATTAAAAGCACGCAGTAGTCCAGGAGCTGCTCTGGATAGTTCCAGAAGACCTGGAAACACAGGAGCTGTTACACATTACTTCTGGCTTCTCTGTATGAATGGTGGACAGTAGTGCAAAGCAGGGCTCGCCATGAGAAGCTCTGCCCCGAGCCTGTGTGAGTGCAGAACCCAGGACCCTTTAGGAGAGCCATTGGCTGAGCTCCACGGACATCCCGTGCACATTCTACAAGGCTCTGCCCCATATCTTTGCATAGCTCCAGGGCTGCCAACTCAGAATTGGCCATCCCTTCAGAATAAATCGGCCAAGGCCATAATTTATCTCCAGGCTGTGGAAAAGCCAGCAGACTCCAAAAACCAGGCTGCCATCTGTGAGGGTGAAATGAATTGTCAAGTGGCACACTAACTGCAATTAATAAATCAAGTTTTCGACTTTGCACACGGAATGAGTAACGGGCCACTCTGCTAATTAATCCAGCCCAAAGCGGACTGTTTCCAGTTTAACAAGGGCTTGCACTTACCTTGCCAATCTTGACAGTTTCGGAATGTTCAAGGCCCAGAGCCAGCTGCTCCCAGGTTGGAGCCAGAGCTTTGCAGTGACCACACCACGGAGCGAAGAACTTGATAAAGTGGTCACCTATAGGGAAGGCCAAGGCAGAGAGGAGGGGAAAGAAGCACTGGGGTTTACGTCACAAGAGACCAGATGCTGACCTGAAGAATACAGCTCTGTTCCTCTTGCCCACAGATCTCATGTCCTTCTGGTAAAAAGGGACTCACCACCATGTATGTTTATATCTGAGATCAAAACAGTAACTCACAATCAAATCTGTCCTCTCTGAAGGGTTATAGAGAACCAACTTACACTGCGAAAACTGGCAAAAAGGGAAAGAACTGTGCATTTTCCCTGCCTCTTTTACTACCCTAACTACAAGTGAGGAGGCCAGCACGGACACATCTGATGGGGGAGGGACCAGACAGTGGCTCCAATCACAGAAACAGACATCATAGTCACAGGCAGCCATATAGCCTTCCAGCATCCCAAAAGTGTATAAGGGAAAAACAAACCAAGGAAGTGTGTTAATCCACAGCAGAGTCCAGATTGGGGAGTTCTGCAGACCCGCAAACCATGTGCTCAGTAAACACAGACATGCTGGAGAGCATGCAGATCAGCAGGGCCTTATAGATACTCTCAGCCTTCAATGAGGCTAAGTAAAAGCCAAAAGAAGGGGAAAAAAGAAAGCTCTTAAGATCCATAAAATCTAACAAACTTGGGGGAAAAAAAGAAAACCATTAAGCTGAGCCATGACAAGTCAGATGACTAAAGCCTGGTGTTTAGTAATACACACCTGAGCTATGAGGCCATGGGCCCACACAAGTGCCACGGGAGAGAGGATGGCAGAGAGCCCTGGAAGGGGGTGGTGCACAGTGGGCTGCGGTTTTTTGATCTGGACAGTGGTCATGGAAAAACTCTTAAAATTCATTAAGCCCTACTTTTGCTTTTTGTGCTTATATATTTTACCAAAAAAAAAAAAAAAAAAGGTTTAAAAAAACCCACAAAACCAAGTCCTCACAACATTATTTTCTGGACACTGGGGACTTTTATCTGTCTGTTCTGCTTTACACAGGCTGACAGCACCCCCAAATCAGGAGAGAGCCCCCAGTGGACAGGAGGCAGTGTGGTGGTGACCTGAGCACTGGTGGTGGCTGAGGTCTTCTTGCTATGACAATAAAGCATTCAGGAAACACGGAATCACTTATTTGAAATTATGAGTGACTTATCTTCAAGGCTAATCCTTGCAGACAAGTGGAGTACGAACCCTGGGCAGCAGGGTGGAGACGGAATCCCTAGAAGCCAAGCCGCTCTGATGGGAAGCCAGCAAGGGCAGGAGCCTTAGTGAGCCCTGGAACAATAGTACCATGTGGGGTCTGCAGGGTGTGTCCTGCAGGAGACACTGGGGCAGGGCGGGGCGGGGCGGGGCGGGGGAGACTGTCTATGACATTTGGATGTACATTCTAACAGAACCCAAGTTAGTTTGACTTCCCAGTAGGGAAACTCCCAAGGTCCCGGGGCTGGAGAGCTAGTACAGATTACAGACCTCATTCTAGTGGTAAGGAAAGCCACCATGAAACTATTTCAGTAATACAGGTGTTGAGGGGGCGGTCTGACTCCCAGCAGGCAGGCTTCAGGGCAGGTACAGTCCTACGTTCTTTTCCACAGTGTGCACAAGCCAGTCTTCCAGGGGGTTCTCCCCATGGCAGCACTTGATAATGGAGCCAGCAAGGAAGCTTTGTTAGCAAGTCTAGTCACACGTGCTTGGGCCAACTTCTGAAACATGCTCGTGCACTAACAAAGGGAGGCTTGTGCTTCATTCATAGTGGAGAGTGTAGGAAGTCATTTAGGAGACTGCTTCCAAAAAGGGAGTATAAAGAACACCTAATTTGATTCATGGTTGAACAGTCCTATTACACTGTTTAAACAAAACATGTGCTTGTTTCAGCCTCCAGCCAGTAAACATATGACCACCATAACGAGGGCTTTCTTATCCCCGGGTGTTGTGTGCCCCCGGTGTGCTCACAGCTTCAGTGTTGTGTGCATACCCAGTGTGCTCACAGCTTCAGGGTGCTGTGTGTACCCGGTGAGCTCACAGCATTGGCAGGCAGGCCCACAAGGATGAAGGAGGAGGGGGTGCTATTTAAGAGCAGGCTTATTAAGCAACAGTCCACTGGTGCTGAAGAGACAGCAGGAGTTGCGACTCGATGTTGCTACGAGCGTTCAAATGGCAAGAGGAGAAGCCAGCACAGAGCCCCATGGTCACCAGTTCCATCCTTACCTTGAGAAACATGCAGCGCAAAGTTGTTGGCCGAGAGTTCATACAACCCCTGCTTCAGTTCAGGGGCTTTGGGAGGTTCCGCTTCAGGCTCTGGTGTCTAACAAGAAGCAGCAAAGCAATTATCTTTGGTTTTGTCCTTGAGGATGTAGCTGATGCAGGCAGGTGACCTGTCCCTGTCCAGAATAGTCCCCGTCTGTCTATCTCACAGCTATGCTGAACAAGGCCAGAGAGACAGGCAATCACCTCCACCAAGTACTCTGGGTGCATTAGCACCAAGCCCACCCTATAGGACTGAGGGTCTGGGGTAAATTTCCAATGTGCCGCTCTGAACAGGTAGGCGCTAAAGACACAAAGGTGGAAAAACAGCTAGAGGTGAAATCACAAGAGAGCAGGTCCTGGTGACCTTCACTTTGCACAGGGGGCAGGAAGAACAAGAAAGAGATGCTACCAAAGAGTGACAAAAAGCCAGTGATAGGAACCAAGAACCCGACAAGTCACGGGAAGGAGAAACGGAGAGACGTGGAAGGGATGGCCTTGTGAGCTAAACCTTAAGAAAGCAATTCACGTGACAGGTTTGGGACAGAAATGCAAAGAACTTTCTGCCAGCACAGCAGGTAGGTGACATCCCAAAAGCCCCCTTGAAACGATGAATAGAACCAAGCCCCAAATCTGCTACTTTCCCTGAGCATGCATGCCTGTGGCAGTTTAATTTGTAAATGAAGCAAAGGGGAGATTTAATAATAATGATAAAATAGAAATCACAACAAAATGCTAAAATAAAAACGACTTAAAACTTGTGAATTGGAGAGAGTCTTGAGCAACTCCGGCCTCCTTCCCATCACACCCAGGAGGAGCCTCCGCTGGTCCAAGTCATTTCATCATCATAACCACGACCATGAGGCTGAGATCCAGAAGCCACAGCCATGCCCAGAGCCACTGACACCAAGCCAGGCACCACAGGCAACAGAGGCCCAGGCGACCTCAACACACAGCATATGCCAGTGGAGACCAGAAGCCATCCCAATGAAGGTTTGGAGAACAGTCCAATGTAAGAAACAGGTATGTTTTCACCAACAGGAACATACAGCAGACTACCATAAAGAAGGAGCCGAGGAGTGCCTTCACAGTGTGGGAGACAGAGGGAGACTGTAGTTTGATGTTGCTGAAGGAGAAAAGAGACTGGGGGCAGCAAACGTTACAGGCCTTGGTTGAGTTCCAGTGCAAGGCAGACCATAACCTTCATAGACGCTATCTGCCTTGTAAGCGGTGCTCCACACAGTGATGATAATTCCCAGAACAGTGAGAATGGGGAGAGGAGGTCTGGAGAGACCACAACACTAACCCTGTCACATGCGAAAGTTCCCACCTTAGTGCGTGTGGGGAGTACACTGAACACACAGTAGTGACGGGGGACACTAACAATCAGGGTTCAGCATAACAAAGTACACCAGAGACACAGAATACACATGGGTTACAGACTACAATCCCTCAGGGCCCTCTGCACCAAAGGCAGCCTAGAGAAGATGACAGTGAAGAGGAGAAGGGACAGTAAGGAGATGAGATCAAAGTCAGCAGCCACCCCATTGTAACTGCCACTGCAAATTTATTTACTAATACAGATGCCCAGAGAACCCAACACAAAAAGATGCCAGAGACGAAAGCAGCTGTTCTGCCAGTGGAGAATTTATCTGCTCCAGAGGCTGAGCAGGGCAGGGCTAAGCAGATGGCTTACCATCTCCACCAGCATCCAGTCAGTCACCTAACAAGAATAAATGACTATACAGCTCTAGCAGTAAGAACGAACAAAGGAGGCTGGAGAGACGGCCCTGCAGTTGAGCTTCATCGTTCTTGCAGAAGACCAGAGTTTGGTTCCCAGCTCCCACCTGGCAGCTCACGGCCACCTATAACGCCAGCTCCGGGGGCTCCAACAGTCTCTTCTGACCTCCAAGGCAACTGCACTCATCTGCACACACCTCCACACACACATATGCACATACATGGTAAAACTATTTTCTAAGAAGAAATGAAGAGCAGGGCTGAAGACCCAATGCTTACTCTTCTGCCCCTTGACCACATACACGAGACCTCTCTGAGCTGCCTATGCAGCACGAGCATTTTAATATATTTACCTTCTGGTAAGGATAAACATTTGTAGAAAGGCTGCTTTTTCTCAATATCTTTAAATGCTTTTAAATTGCTTCATATCTCGTCAAGTTAAAAGTTTTCAAGAACTCGATTTTTAATTTAAATAAAAGTGTATGTCCTAGGTTGCTTTCTATTGTTATAACACCATGACCCAAAACTAACTTGGGGAGGAAAGGATTTGCTTTATAATTCCACATCATAGTGGGTCACTGAGAGAAGTCAGGGCAGGAGCAGAGGCCATGGTTGGTTGCTGCTTACTGGCTTGCTCCCCATGGCTTGCTCAACCTGCTTTCTTACAGAACCCAGGACACCTGCCCAGAGATGGCACTTAGTGCACTAGGCCCTCCTACATCAATCATTAACCAAGAAAATGTCCTATAGACCTGCCTACAGGCCAATCTTATGAAAGTAAAACTCTCTTCCTAGATTATCTCTAGCTGGTGTCAAGCTAATGAACATGACATTGTCTACATTACAAACTCAGCATGCCTAAAGCCAACCACGGATATTCCAAAATCTGAGCTTTTGAGCAGGCACCTGTAGTTCATTTTTTCATTCTTTGGGGCCAACCACCCAGCTCCCAAATAAATACATGGAGACTTATTCTTGGTTATGAATGCCCGGCCTTAGCTTGGCTTGTTTCTAGCCAGCTTTTCTAACTTAAATTATCCCATTTCTCTTTAACTATGCTTTCCCTCTGGGCTTTTTACCTTTATTTTATATGTCTTTCTTTCCTTCTTACTCTGTGGCTGGCCCCTGGCGACCTCCTCTTCTTCTCTTGAGCCTAGATTTCTCCTCCTATTCTCTCTGCCTGCCATCCCCACCTGTTTCTCTCTCCTGCCTAGCTATTGACCATTCAGCTCTTTATTAACCCAAACAGGTGTTTTAGGCAGGCAAAGTAACACAGCTTACAGAGTTAAACAAATGCAACACAAAGAATGCAGCACACCTCTGCATCATTAAACAAATGCTCCACAGCATAAACAAATGTAACACATCTTAAACTAATATTCCACAACAGGCACCACAATGGGGAACCCACACTGGCCTCATGTCCCAGACTGAAGTCAGAAAGTAGGCATACTGAAAACATTGTACAAAAATTACCTTTGGGACATACAGAAAAAGCACATATAACAAAACTAGAAACATTAATGAATTTCAGGTCTAGACTTGGGGCTCTCATCCCCAAGACATTTCATTACATATATGTGAATGAATCAAAATACAATCTTCCACTCCCACCCCCAGCACATGCTCACAGACACAAATAAACAAATACAATTTAAAAAAAAAAAAAGAAGGCTCTATAGAAAGACTGCCTATTTGGGACTGAGAATATGGCTCAGGGATAGGATACCTGGTTGAGTCAAGGCCCTGGGTCTAATTTACAGCACCTCAAAAAATGTGCATATTTAAACTTTTCAACAAGAAAGCATTCTTCCTGGTGATTGTCTGAGAGCCTCTACTGCTCAGAGACACTAAACATGAAGCTTAGGTGACTGGTTCTAGCCTGCAGCCATCTCTCTCCTACACTGAAGATGAAAACCCTCAAGACATCTGTGCTGAGCCCTCCCAGCCTGTACTTCCCAATTGGAGCCAGGCCTCCATGTACATCCATTCTGCCACCTGCCATCACATACAGGACACAGCATCCCATTAGTAGGCCTCTTTGTGCAAAGTTTATTTTAAAAGTTTTTTTTGAGACTATTACCTTCTCTTTAAAATTTTCTATGAACATAGTTGCTATGAACATAGTTGAGCACATGCCCTTGTGGTACGATTGAGCATCGTTTGGGTATATACCCAAAAGTGGTATTGCTGGGTCTTGAGGAAGGTTGTTTCCTAATTTTCTGAGAAATCGCCATATTGATATCCAAAGGGCACGTGTTCAACTATGTTCATAGCAGCATTGTTTGTCATAGCCAGAACCTGGAAACAATCTAAATGCCCCGCGACTGAAGAATGGATAAGGAAAATGTGGTACATTTACACAATGGAGTACTACACAGCAGAAAAAAATAATGACATCTTGAAATTTGCAGGCAAATGGATGGATCTAGAAAACATCATACTGAGTGAGGTAATCCTGCCCAGAAAGACAATTATCACATGTACTCACTCATAAGTGGCTTTTGGACAAAGTAAAAAACAAACAAACAAAAAAAAAGCCTACAATTCACAATCCCTGAGAACCTAGACAACAAAGAGGACTGTAAGAGAAACATACATGATCTAATTTACATAGGAGGTAGAAAAAGACAAGATCTCCTGAGTAAATTGGGAGCATGGGGACCATGGGAGAGAGCAGAAGGGGAGAGGAGCAGAGCAAAATGTATAGCTCAATAAAATCAATAAAAAAAAGAAAAGAAAAATTTAGGTAGTGTTGGATTTCACACTGCCAGGAATGTACGTCACTCAAGAATCTTGTTGACTGAATAAATGTGGTGGTTCAAGTGTTAAAAAAAAAAAAATCTTGCTTAATTCATACCCACCCCTCTGAAAAAAGAACTTTCATAGAGAAAACAATACTGTTTCAATCTACATGAAAACCCCACCTGCCCCTGCAGCTTTTCAGCATGACAAAGATGCAAATTCACCCACAAGCTTGTGGGTTCTGGTTACCTAAAATGAGGCCAGCTCCTCGATACTACGGACACAGTAATGGTGGTTTCAAATGTGAGGTATGGAAACACTAAAGGAAGCAGCGACTTTCTGATGAGCTGGGACATCCAGAGTGAAGAACACAGCTGCAGGGTCACACACCCTTGAAAGTGGCACCAATGTGAGGTGGAGCTCAACCCAGTGCTGGGACCACAGGCAGCCACAGTCAGTGCCCAGCTCCGACACAATACAGAGCCCTCAGTAACCTGTTCCCACTGCAGTTGTACTCAGAACTCCTGATGCCCTGACAGTTGTCGGAGACGGGAAACAATGCAATGCTAGCTACTTTTCCAGTCCCATGAACACGGCACCACAAGCCATCAAGTCCACCTACCCTCATGTAACCATCCACATACAGAAGGACCCTTAAAGGAACTGTGTAGCATCATTATGATTTAGAGCAAAATGAAGGTTTCCATATCAGCCTTAGTAAATAACACTTACAGTGTTCTGATGGTGCCTACACACAGACAGAAGGAAAACACTTGAGCATTTACTAAGGGTTTTTAGTTTTACATTATTAGTAAAGCCAGTACAAGCCTGGAAAGCTGAGGATCAAGAAGCAAAGGAAAAGAGCCACACCACTATGGACAGACAGTAGAAGCAAGCCCAAGTGAGCCCCGGGAGCTGGAGACAGGAGAAAGCACTGGAGATTCAACAGGGCCTGGTCTTGCCTGTCTCACGGTGGTCAAAGGCAGCCCCTGGTACAGATGCATGGGTGCTCACTGCACTCATGTGGAAGCGACACAGTGCCTATGTTACACAGCAAAAGTGTGTGTCTGTGCCCTGAATATTGACCAGTGACAGCTCTGGATGGATGAAAGGGATCAGGAGGGAGATGAGGCTGGCAAAACAGTGAAAATGGCACTTTCGTACATGTTTGAATATCTTCCTATGAAGAACTGTGTTCAGGTTATTTATCAGTCAGTTCTGAGACAGGTGCTTAGCTGAACAGGAACCTGGAGACGGCAAGAGGCTCCCCTCCAGCCTGGCAGTCCTGCCTTGCCCTAAATGGGATAAGAAAACTGAAAAGTAAGCCCATAAATCGGAGGCAACACCACCATTTGCCAAGGACGGTCACCACGCAGCAGGCTGCTATACACTAACGATATTTGTAGCTTAAATGAAATAATTCCGGAAAGCATGAAGGCAGATAAATGTTATGGACGGCCTCCATGACAAAGCCATTTGAAACAGCCTCCAAGGGCTGTGAGCTGGCTTGCCCCAGCTGCCATCTAAACAACTCAGCATGGAGTAAAACACCTATTATAGCTTACTAAACATCGAACACTCATATAAAAAATTCATAGAACTCCAAGACAATCATGGCAAACTACTTAAAGGAAAAAGTAGACAAATGAAAGATAAAGTTATTGAGCTACAAAAGGAGCAATCAGAAACAAAAGCAGAGACATTCAGTATGGTGGCACACAGCAATAATCCCAGCTCTAGGGAGGTGGGGAAGTGGGGGAGGACCTGAGTTCAAGGCCAGCCTGGGCTACACACGGAGAAACACAGTGAAGTACACAAGAGTCACTTGACGACTTTAGATAGAAACGAAAGACTGTTAGGAAGAATCTAATCCCCAAGGTTCTTGCCCAAGGAAACCAAGAATAGTTCAGGGGATCAGTATGGTGAACTGCCTGTTCCCAACAGTGGGTCAGAAATCTGCAGCTGTCCTGACAACAGGAAGCTCCCCACAGTCCAGTGAACATGCTGTGGAAATTCCACCATTTAAGAACAATGATTCCCATTTACTCAGTATCTTGTACTTAAGGAGAACATGCTCGGGTGCTGTGAGCTCCTCTAAGCAAATTTAGACTCATTCAGTCAACCAGAAGCAGCACAGGGAGAGATCTATTTACAACTTCAAAAAGAATTGTAAGCTTTCACCTCGCCTGGCCTCTGGGCTGTAAAAGGAGGGAGGAGGGGACACTTACAGGTGGCTCTTCATTCAGCGTCTGCAGCATCCAGTTTTCTAGTGTTTCGAAGTCTCTAGGACCCTGGTACTTCACCGCTTCTTGGCCAGGCTTGAAAAACTTCAGGCTGAAAGAACAACAACAGATTAGGGAGAGCAGAAGTGTACAAGTTTAAAGCTGCACTGGGTTAAGAGCAACCCATGCAGGGAAACAGCAATGGATCTGCCAGGGGCTGCAGCCAGTACCCATCTGCCACTCAGATAGGACTTCAAAGGGAATCAAAACCGATGTTACAGGAGTTGTCCCAAGCTCCTAAACTTTCACACATTTCCGATGTTCTTCAAGGGAAATACAACTGGGGTGAAAACTTGCAGATGCACGCTGTGAGTTAAACCTGCCCTCAGTACTTCTGCCAGGCTTCACTCTGGTAGCACCCCGCATACTTCCTGGCCTCCTTGTTGCTCCCGCTGCCTGCAGGCCTCGCTTAGGCTTGCCGTAGACAAAACAATTTTGCAGTAGGTGTGTTTGCAGAGCACCGTGGCAGACGGAATCCCAGTCCCTGAGGGATCCCAACTATCAGGACCCTCTAGCTGCTGCAGTCTATCTGCTCACCCCCCCCCCACACACACACATTCACTCCAGCCCCAGAGCTCCGCTTGCATCCCCTGCATCCCTGCAGAACAAAAATCTTTTCTATTCACTGGCCTCTGCAGAATCTGCAGCGATGAGGGAACAGTTCCTCTGATGGTGAGCATAAGACATCACCAGAGGATGAATGTCACACATGCTGGTCTTGGATCACTCCTGTCATAACATGCCTTAGAAGTTGTCAAGACTGTATTAAACTTGTGGCTCCTGTCAGAAGGAAAAATGCAGACAAGGGCTAGGAGCCCTCTAACACCTCCCGGAAATGATTTGGGTTTTGTGAGGTAATACACAATGTTCAGAAACAGATTTTTAAGATAGGATGTGTACAACTCAGGTATATAGGTGGAATGTCACAGGCAGCCCATAAAGCACAAAAATTCATTTCTTAGTTCTGGAGACTAAAGTCATAAAGTAATTTCATAAATTCATAAAGTAATATATTTAATGTCTACAGTGGCTTTCTGGTTCCCTAATGGCACCTTCTCCTTGTGTCCTCATGTGGCAGGAAAGCCAAGAGAGCTTCCGGAGCCCCTGTAATAGCATGTACCTCCAGTACCAACACAGTGGGGTTAGAATGTCAGCATGTTTTCCCAGACACAAACATTAACAGACAGGTAAGTTCCCTTTAAATGAAGTTCCACGGCTACACAAGGAAACCAAACTACATGGTGGAGTTTGGCAAAGGGTGAGACAGGAAGATAGCAAGTCTGAGGCAAGCCTAGGATACACAGTAGAGCCCTGTCTAGAGAAGAACTGAGGAGTGCTTGCTTAGCACACACAAGACGCTAGGCTCCCTCTCCAACATCATGAAATGAAGGGAAAAACAGTCCACTGGCTATATCTGGCAGCTAGAAGGACAGAATGGCCTTATGGAGAACATTTGAGCAGATGTCCAGCGTCCTTAGGCTCCCAGAGACAATTCTCTTAAGCTTACAGTAGGTTTACATCCTCACAAGCACATCCTAAGTTAAAACAACAGTAAGCCGGACCACTTAAAAAAACATCCTACCCAGCCTAACTCAGGCACACACAGGAGCCTCAGGTGGGTAGTCACTGGACACCAGAACAATATTTAATGTCTACTGTAATTTACTGTGCTGAAAGCGGTGGGTGGAATGGCTGTATGGGGCTGCTTCTTCTGCCCCATCACGAAGGTGAAGGATCGCAGGTCCAACTATCTTTAAATGTGGGACCATCTACACAAGGAAAAGCTGAGGTCTGATAAGTAGATTTAGGCACTATACTGTGCCTCCAATAAAGAACATATGAAAGCTAGGCATAGAGGCACACACTCAACATCCCAGCACTTTGGGGCCCGAGGCAGGTGAAGCTTATGCACAAGGCCTAGAAACTGAGTTCCAGATCATCTTGGAAACATAGTGAAAATCTATCTGAAAGAAAACCACCCAGCAACAAAACCAAAGTCTAAGCAGGCTAAAAGTACATTGTCATAATCAGAAAGGAAGCAAAAGCACTCGCAGGTATACCCGCCTGCCTCATTGCAACCACCTACGCAGCACTCTGCCTCCTGCGCCCTGTAAAAAACAAAACCAAACAAAAGTTTGTTCTTGGGCACTTCTGCAGGCCGCTGATCAACATGGGAATCCCTCTCAGACCACATTCACTACAGTCTCAGCTTATTTCCAATTTCTTTAACCACACACAAACACACACACACACACACACACACACGTCTGACTTACTCAGGGGGACTTGATTTCTAAATAAGTCAGGATACAAACTGCAAGGTGTTTTTAAATTTGTCAGTGGCACCCATGGGGTCCTGATGTTGCAGTACAGAACCCCGTTAAGCCTCTGCAGTGGTTGGTTTTGTCAACATGACACAATCTACAATCATTAGGGAAGGGAGTCTTGGTGAGGGATTGTCAGAGTTTAACCAGTGGGCACGTCTGAGGGGTTGTCTTGATTACACTGATAAAACATGCTCACTATGGGTGGCTCCATTCCCTAAGCCAAGGATCTTGAACTACTGAGTAACTGGCTGAGCAGGATCATGCATGCGTTCATTCTTCCTCTTCTCACTGTGGATGTGACGAGATTTCCCCTCTACTCAACGTGGATGTCACTAGCTGCTTCAACTTCTTTCCACCTTGATTTCCCCACAAAGACAGTCTGTAACCTGGCACTCAGAGCTATAATAAACATTCTCCTCTCATCTGCTTTAGTCAGCGTATTCTATCACAGCAACAGTTAAGACGGCTTCCCCGTCAGTAACACCCATCCTTCTCGCCCACTGTGATTCCAGTTTCAGCCTCCCCATGGCATGTTTTGTATGGCAGGCAGTGTAGAGAGGAAAGGGGCACAGTCAACCCATTTCATATCGTCCCAGCACCCTAGAAGTACTAGACTCTCGCCAGGTGAGTATTTACTTCCCCTGCTACTTATCAACAGCTTCTCTAGAATGCTTAAGGAAACCAAACAGGAGTTCATTCATTCATTCACTTGTTCATTAATTCAGATCAGTGATGGAGTCTATGGCCTTGAGCTTTACCAGCTGAGCTACATACCCAGTCCCACAATTCACTTTAAATCTGTGCACTGCACAGCAGTGAGTGAATGCTGTTTACAAGGTACACACACCAGGATCTTTTTCTCTCCAAGATCTGACTTGATACAGGTCTGAATGTGGTGCTTATCAGTAAGCAATCGCTAACACCCAGAAGGTCCAGAGTCCTTTATGGAAAGGCTAAATCTCAAATGTAGAACTCCACTGAAGCCCTGTGCTTATGGAAAGCAAGGCAGAGGCCACTGTTGTCACCCTTAGACTCAGAGGTCAAGAGACGTAGCCAGTGCTGCACAGCTATGGATGGCAGACCTGGGATTCCACTGTGGCCTCCACTCTCCCTTGCTGCCTCTAAGGATCAGAGACTTCAGATTTCATACTTAACTCCAGGTCCTATGGATTAGTCAATTAAATTATGTATTACATAGACTTGACTTGGTACCCCAACTGTAACGAATACTTAAAAGTCGAAGTTATTAAGAGTTCCGCTACAGGAGGAAGGGCATAACCCCTTGGTAAACTACTCTTCCACCTCTCCACAGGCCACAGGGCCTGAAAGGGGAGGCTGCTATCTATGAGATCCTGCATCAGCACCACAATGGCTATTTCTGGAAGACTCCACCAGACACGGTGCCTGGTCATGAGCCCATGTCCTCCCTCAGGAGAGAGAGACAGGGATGGAAAGTTCAGTCACCCCAAAGCAGATGCGGTAGAAACAATTTCCACGACCTCTTGGCTGGAGTCCCTAAGACTCACCCACAGTGTGATTTAATTTGATTGTCCCCACCCAAATCCATGAAAATTAGTTCCCATTGTGAGATTCCAAGAAGTGGGACAAGGTAGGATCTTTATGAAGTAATTTGGATTAGATAAGATCATATTTGCAAGGCCATGACTCCATTAGTGATTTCATATGAAGAGACCCAAATAAGCAAGCTTTCTTTCACGCTATATGATGTCTCGAGCCACCCTGGGACTCTGCTGAGTAAGAAGGCCTTCATCACACGAAGCCTATCAATCTTGACCCTCCAAACCTGGAGACTCAATACAGCTTTTCTCCTGTGTAAATTATCCATTCCACAATGCAATTATAGCAACAAAAGAGGACCAAGACATCCTCTTTTCTTTAAGAAGTCAGTTTGTTGGCCAACTTTCTTTTGCTTTCTAACAAGGAGCAGGGATCATCAGCTTAGAAAGAGAAATAGTGTATTTTGACTCCCTGGTTTAGAGGACTGGCTTTGGTCTGTACCCACACAGAACCTAACAGACCCTCTCCTCACAACAGACATGAAACAAGCAAACAAAAAAACTAAAGAAAACACAGAGAGGGCTGAGATCACAATATCCCCTTCAAGGATTGTCGTGAACCACCAGCCCCCACGTCCTAAAGGTTCTCTATGCTCCCCACAGCACCACAGTCTACTGGGGAGCCTAACACCTGGGTTTCCGGAGGACATCCATCCAGAGTGCAGCAGCCAGTCATCATTTGTTCACCCCATCATGCACACGCCCATCAAGGGAGCAACTGGCTGCTGAGACGCTTATTGCACTCTGGCTTGTCACAACCCAACCCCCCCAACAGAAAGAGACCATATACTAGCTGCAGAGGATGTAAAGATCTTAAATCAGTAAGAAAAAGAAGAACGGCAGTGGTGGTAAGAGTTCAAATCAAAAGGGATGAAGTCTGAACGGGCTGTGTTAAACTAAGTGGAACATCACCCAGGGCTGGATCTCAGGCAACTGGACCCCACCATTGCCCTGCAAATGCTCACTATCTCAGAAACGGGAAAAACTAACAAAGATTAAGGCTTTCCCCATGCAAAATGCAAAAGGCGTCTACAATAAACAGTGCTCAATATAATCTTGTCCTAATAGCAGGGACCTGCTTACACTCAGCGGGGCAGAGCTATGAAGGAAGTTAGCACAGGTTCAGCTTGGGCATTCCTCGGTCACAGACAACAGAGACACACATGTGGAAACCCCAGCACAGAGATACACTCATCCTCCTTCTTCCTACTTACGTGGGGTATCCTCGCACACCCTGGGCGGAGCACACGTCAGAGCTGGCCGTGCAGTCCACTTTAGCCACGTAGACCTTGGCATCCTCCATGCTGTTGTACTTGTCTCCCAGGTCATTCCAAGTTGGCTGCAGTCGCTGGCAGTGTCCACACCTACAGTGAGGTCAGGGGAAGAGCACATTTGAGCGCCAGGTCCCAGGCGTCCAGGTTACTACCTCAGCCTTCTCCACATCAACTCCCCACCCTTGCTTTTCTCAAAATGCAGCAGATGGATAGCTCACAATGACAACATTCTCCACATTCATCAAATTTTGCAGACTCCTGTCCTAACATGCTTTTTTGACCTCTATGTCCAGATACCACCTCCTTGACTTCCAGCCAGCCTACGGGTACAATTGCACTATTTCAGTTTCCTGAAACTTATAAACTTGCTGTGCCCCTGGAACTCAAGGCATACATGCACCCTACCAAGAATTTCACTAAACTCCACCTGGACGATTTCTGTTTGCCTTCAGATCTAGCTTATGTATCATTTCCTCCAAGAAGTCTTCTTGTCTTTCAGGCTACTTTGTATCCACTCTCTTCTCTTTCTCCTTTTCTGGAAGTCTCTCTTGCTCTCCCAAGTGGCTTATCACCCTTCTTCTGTAAACTCCGTTATTTACAAAGACAGCCCTCTTCTATTACATAACCAAATGTACACAAATGCAAGGAGATCTCAAAATTAATCAGCTCTGCACCTTCTCCAGCCAGAACCCTTAAAATATATATAATTTATCTAGACAGGTCTTGGGTAACCAAGGCTGCCTTTGAGTGTTCTATGTAGCTGAGGATAAGTCTGAACTTCTGCCTTTCTGACCATCACCTTCCAAGTGTTGGGACTGTAAGTGTGCACAGCCACGCTCAGCCTAATGTGGTGCTGGAGATCAATCGAGGGCTTTGTGCATGCTCGGCAAGCACTGTGCCTGAGCTACATCCCCAGCCCTCCAATCATTGGTAGAATCAAGTATCTGGTATTGACTGCATGAGTTTAGTTATCCGCTCATCTTCAAACCATCTATCTCTAATACCAGCAAGGCCCTGACTTGCCTCTCTTTGCACTGCACTACAGCATCAGCATCTTTCGTCACAGGACCTACAGGGCAGTGCTGATTACTGTCTTGCTCTCTAATCTGTATGCTGTACCACATGTGAGTTCTGAATGAGTACAATCACACAGCATTAAGGCACAGGGCTGGTTTATTCTCTCTTATCGAATAAATGAGTGATGTGTATTTATAACATCACTACTTGCTGTGCTGCTTTCTGTAAGGCTCCTTTAAAAAAAATGCTCACTCACAAAAAAGACAGGCACTGATAATTGGTATTGACTCAATAAAATCTGTGGTAAGCCTCTTTTTTGACAGAAGACCTGACCTCCAAAACAAACATCTTAAGGTAGTCCTGAGAAGTCAGCTTCAAGCTAATGTGTCTTCCCAGCAGGACTTTCTTGGGATGCTAAAACAAATCCCTGTTTTATAAAGGCCCAAATAAAATAGGGCTGGAGAGAGCTCAGTAGTTAAGAGAGCACTTGTTACTCTTTCAGATGACCCAGCACCCACACCAGGCAGGTCCCAACTGTCTGTAGCTCTGGTTCCATGGAATCTGACACCCTCTTCGGGCTCATCGGGGGATGCACACATATGGCACACAAACCCATAGAGATATACACATGCACAGAAATAAAAATAAAACATATAAGCAATAAAACCCTAAAACCAGCATCATTCCCTTTTTCTGGAAGATTGTCAGTATTCTTTTTATGTATCTGGTATAAGTGCCAAGAAAGCCAGCACAGTCCTGTCCAGATACTTGGTGTGCAAAGTGCTTGGCAACTCCAGCAGAATGAATGGTGTGAAAATCCACACACAATATAACTGTATTGCAGGATTTAACTTCTGTGAATTCAGCAAAGTTAGTTCAGCAAGGTGTGGGTTGGGGAAGAAAGGACAGTAAGAAAGAAAGGGGGGGGGAGTTAAGATCCAAGGACTCCTTAAGTGTGTACACAATCAGGCACATGGACTTTTGCTCCCCAGCTGGCCCACATTCCTGTTTGCTCCTCATGGCATCTGGGGCTTAATCAAAGAAAGCTGGCTTGGTTCTCATGGTGGAGCAGAGCCCAGTTACGAGATGCTGCTGGGTGACTAGAGGGTGACTGCCTTCAGGTGGCCACAAGGACCGTCAAGGGCAGTTCAGACATTACAGGAATCTGATTGCCTCGTCTTACAATTGGACCCATCCTCTGCATCCTTGAAAAGGTTCTTATGACGATACAAGATTAAAAACGAGGGTATTTAGTTCCCTGCACCCCAAATTAAACTGACCACCTGGGGCCGTCACCAAGCAGGCACACCCTTCTGCACCCAGGAACAGTGATGAATTTACGGTCCTATCAAGCTGGCATTTCTGGTTCAGAGTCCTTGTGGTTACAGCACTACTGAGCCAGCCAGCTGCATTTAGAAGGTGGCCTGGGGCCAAGTCACAGCAAAGGCACCTAACCTTAATCTTGACCTTACTATCCCCAGGTTCAGTGTGACCCAAAAACTGGCACTATAGACACCGTGCTCTGATGCTGGCACAAAAATCAACAGCAGGACAATCCTGTGGCCACCAAGCTTAGAACAAACAGACACAGGTCAATGTTTTCGTTACACGGTGTCCTTGCCCCCAGTATCACACGTAGGCATCTAACATTCTAGGCACGCAACCTGAGAAGTGGGGCCGAGACCCAGTGTATTCTTTCTTGAGCTTCAAATCATTCTTAAAAGTCTAATTTTGACATCTTAGCACTCCATAGGCTGAAACAAAAAGATCATGAATTCAAGGTCAATGTAGATGGGACACAGAGAGGTCCTATCTCAACCTCCTTTCAAAACAAACGTCTAGCTTTCAAAGGCCACGGTGGGCACCTACTCATCTCTCACATTTTTAGCAGAGTAGCAAGAAGCAAACAACTAAAGGCTCACCTTGGGGAGCAGTGCGTACCTAAATACAACTAAAAAAAAGAATTTATGCAATACCTATTATGTGGACTGACAAAGACTAGCTGGTTATTTATTGGAAATATTCCAAAATTAAAACTCCACCAGCACTGCAGAGAGCCTAACTCTATCTGCACGTCGATTATGCTTATAAAACTAAACCTCGCAGATTCATTCCACTGAAATTGGCCCCAGTTAAGTCTTGCGGTGTCCTTAATTGGAGTCACTACTCTGAGAATACTCGTGCAGAGTAACTATTAACACCCACTGGCTGTTGCAGGCTACCAGTATTTTCTCTTTCATTGGAAGCTACAGATTCGAGTCAGCTGTTCTCGGAAAACAATGCATCCATTCGCGGATTCTTAATAGATAATGGCTGTGAGCCAGACTGACGCTTAGAAGTTAATGTAACCCTAAATGAGTTGAAATGCAAAAATAACCCACTACAGGGTTAAAAAAAAGAAAGTTTCTACCACTTTGGAGGCACAATCACTGAATAAGTCGCATTCCACAGATACACTGTTCTTAACCTCTTAGCCCCCTTTCCTTAAGGGGCCCCTACCGAGCAAGCGAGGGGAAAAGTACTTTGCTCAGCAATAAACAGTCAGCATATCCCCACACCTCAAGTGGCCTGCGCTCTGAACACTATCTGCTCTGGACCAGAGAAACTTGCTTCTCTGAGCATCTAGGCCCAGCAAGAAAGAACTGCTATGTCAAGAACAATTCCTGAGGTACAGTTCTCTGGAGAACGCAGCGGGGTGCACCAGGAAGCCCCAACCGGAGAATGGAAGCATGGAGGTGTAGGGCTTTTACATAAACTGTTCCACCTCACACTGTTCCTCCCAACTGACTGGGGCCCCAAATAAGCAAAGACGAGGAGGTGACAGAAGACAGCTTTGTCCACTCCAGCGTGTAGCGGGGATTCCAGAACCGGCACTACTCCGGGCTCCCAGGGGTCGGGAAACCCCAACTCCTCAACCTAGGTGATCTCTTCCCACCCTCGACACACAGAGTGGGAAGTCACATTTTGGGAGGGCCTTAGATTTTTCAACCCAACCCAATATTGAAGGGCCAGCAGCGAGGACCCTCCGGGCGAGGGCACGTGGTCGCCGGGCTCCCACCGCGTCCGGCCAGCACAGGAAGTTTGGGGAGCTGGGCAGGGGACTTGTGTGTGTACGTGTGTGCGCGCGCGCGAGCATGTATATGTGTGTGGGGGTGGGGGGCCTGGGCTCCAGCTGCGTGGCGGGGCCGAGAGGCCTTTCCGGGTCTCCCCCTCGGGGTCCGCCCTTCCTCGCGCTCCGCCCGGCGGCTAGCGCCACGTCAGCGGCGAGGCCCAGACGCAGCGGCCCACGCCCCTCGGATGGCCCGCGCGGCCCCGCGCCCTCCCCTGACCCCCGGTCCGGGCCCCGCCGGTCTGCGGGAGCTGCAGTTACCAGGGCGCGAAGAACATGACGAAGTGCGCGGTGCTCTGGATCCCGTGCGTGAACATGTCGGCCGTGTACAGGTGCTTGGCGTGCGGGTCCTGCTCGGCTTCGCCGTCCGCCGCCAGTTCCTGGGCCCGGGCGCCCTTACGCGAGCCTAGCAGCAGAAGGAGCGCGGCCAGGGCCGGCAGCCCGGCCAGCGGCGGGAGGAGGCGTCCTGGGCGCGGGGGCATCGCGGCGGGGCTGGCGAGCTCTCGCCCGGGCCGCGGGTCCCCTCCGCGGCACCACCTCCCGCCCCGGCTCCTCCCACGACCGCATAACCACGCCCCCACCCCAGAGCCCCGCCTTAACCACGCCCCCGCCCGCCTGGGCACGCCTCGTGGCCTGCCCGACCTCCCGGGGCAACTAGTGGCGTTCTGCTGAAAGCACCGGGGAAGACCTCGTTCAGATCCTCGGGTCCTTCGTGCAGCACCTCCAGCGCTATCCCAGTCCAGTTCCGGTCCATCTCCCGGAGTTCCTCCACCTTCCCAAGTCCCTCAGCAGCCTTTTCCCTTCGTTTCCCTGTTGGGAACGAAAAGGCCAAGCTGTGAAGGCACGGGGCAGTGGCAGCCTCTGTTGATCTAATCACACACCAAGACCCCGAGATTTCAGGACCACCTTGAGCTGCTGTCAGCAGAGAGGAGGAAAATGGGCAAAAGTGGGTGGGGTTTCACTCGCATGAGTCAGATTCTTAGCCAGAACTGAACTGTGATTTGAGGGCCTGGCCTCAGGGGCTGTGATGAAACCATTTCCTAAGAGCGCCTCCCTGTTATTCAGCCCTGCCCTCACTTAGGGTGAAAAAGAAAGGCAGTCAGAGCGGCCCCTTCTTTCTGCCATATGCGTTCTAACTCACACTGGCTACAAAAATGAATGCCGCCAGCTGCTCTGACTGAACCGGCCTTGAGCATGGCTGAGAGCCATTGCCGGGACTGAGGTATAACTCAGGCCAACACGCTAATCTCATGGCAGGTGGCAATCAGAGCTCCCGGCCCCGCCTTGAGAAACTGAAGTTAAATTAGGGAGATTGCAACACCAACGTGAACACTTGAGAGTGTTCCCAGCGCTCTGCTCTATGCCGATGAAAAAGAAATTGACATTATAAGAAGTGTAGATGGCGATTTTTAAAATCGGGGCTTCTCAGCAGCATTTCTGAGAATCACCTGGCTTTTATTAGTCGCAACCTCTCTAGACCGAAAGTCTTTATTCCTGGGTTAGCAACAGGGGCAACTGGCAGCATCTGTAACCGCGGTCCTCATCGTAGGTTGAGCCTCCTGCAAATGTTTAACAGTGGTTTGCCCAACACCGAATTTCCACAACTATTCTCTCGGGACTTCAGGCAGCATCTCTTGCTCACTCCTTCTCTTCCTTTGTGTCCTCGAATTCTAAGACAGCAGGTTTCAAACAAGCACTTCTTCCCACTTTCCTGACCTGAACGAACCTGAGCTTGCCTGCGACAGGAGGGGATCAAAGAGCTTCCTTTGCTCACATGGTCTTAACTATGGTAGTTTGCTGCTCAAACTTGGACCAGCACCCCCTCCCTGCCCAGTGGCCTCGGCATACAGCCTGAAATAGAAATCCCTCGGTTTGCTGCTGTTCAAGGCTTTCTGTGATGCACCTCCGTCATGCCTCGCGTCCTGTGAAACTTTTACTGGTGGCTTAAAAACCCAATGGTTCTGTCCAGTGATCCTGTCCAGTAAGCTGTGGAGGCTGAGCTCGAAGCTTTATGCCCCTCAAGACTTCATATCTCAATACCCCTCTTGCTGTGCTGCTGATAAATATCAACAGAAGAACACCATACACACTGTTTATAATATCAGTGCCTTTTTCATCTGCATAGATCAGTGGTTCTCAATCTGTGGGCCACGGACCCTTTGGAGGTCGCATACCAGGTATCCTGCATATCAGATATTTATATTACAATTCATAGCAGTAGCAATATTTGATGGGGGATTCCCCTCTGTATGCTGTGAATGTCTTATTACCATTGATTAATAAAGAAGCTGCTTTGGCCTATAACAGGGTAGAATAGAGCAAGGTGGGGAAAATTAAACTGAATGAAGGAAGAAAGAAGGTAGAGCCAGGCAGATGCCATATAACTACAAAAGGAGAAAGATGCCAGAACCTTACTGGAAGCCCACAGCCTTACGGTGGTACACAGACTAATAAAAATGGGTTAATTTAAGATGTAAGAGTTATTAATAAGAAGCCTGAGCTAATAGGCCAAACAGTGTTGTAATTAATATAGTTTCTGTGTAAATTATTCAGGCCTGGGTGGCCAGGAAACAAAAAAAATCAGTCTCCATTTACTAAAAATTAGTTATGAAGTAGCAACAAAAATAATTTATGGTCACCACAACATAAGGAGCTATATCAAAGGGTCACTGAATAAGAAGGTTGAGAACCATTGGCATAAAGCGGGGCTCTGGGAACCCTCTCAAGCATTGACTGCTGGTTGTTTGACACATGAGTCTTGCAGTTGAGAAGGAAGGCAAGTGCCTTCCTTTACCGAATCGCTCCCTCCTGTCTACAGAACACCATCTCCCATTATACTGACATCAATTCTACTGAGTGTGGCTCCATCTGCCCTTCTGGTTTTTGCCATTCTTCCGGGACACTCCCTTTACGTCCCCGAAGACTGTGGTTCCTTCCGGCTAACAGAATCTCTCTTCACTCCTTCCTGTCTTTATTCCTGGTGACTGCAGCATCTAGGTGCTATCCCTCCTAACAGGAAATCTTTCTAATATCTGAATAAAGATGCTATGGTTTGAGTCTCGAATGTCCCCTCTGTGGGTCCGTGTGTTGGAGGTCCAGAGTGGTGCTAGTGGAAGGTGGTGGCACTTTCAGAGGAGGGAGGGGGTAAGATCATTGGAGGTGTATCTTCACAGGTCTCAGGACCTCCACCTCTCATTCTATGGCTCCTGAGGTGATGGCTCATCATTGCCCAGAACCTCCAAGCCTGTGAGTCTCAATACTTTTCTCTGTATATGTCTCAGGTGTTTATTGTAGTGGCAGAAAGCAGATCAGCATGAAGGCATCCCAGTCTGATTGTGAACACTGCATCCCAGTCTGATTGTGAACACTGCATCCCAGTCTGACTGTGAACACTGCATCCCAGTCTGATTGTGAACACTGCATTCTCTTCATCCCTCCGGGCTTCTCTGCGGGGTTGACACAATCAGCTCTCACTCCACCTGAATGAGTGACACTCGCACATCTGCCATCCTCTTCAACGTCTCTGATCCACTTTCCCATCCACTACTCCTCGGGCTCCCTCTTCACGTTAGTTTCCCGGGGCTTAGCCTCCAGATGGCCTTCTGTCTACACTCACTCTCTTGGAGACCTCGTTCATCCCCAGAGCTGTACACACGTCCTTGGCATACAGCACCTCACGGCCTATCTCCAAGAAGGACTTGTCTGGCCTCCGAAGGAAGGTACTCCTGTGTAGCGAGCTGCGTGGAATCACACCTGATGGAGATGTATAATCAACTCCTGAGATGGCTAAGGCCTGACCTATGCTATGATCACGCAATGATTATCAGCTGCCTACATATGCGTGAACCTATGGGCAGTGCCCACCTGGCAATCCAGGGTTGGTAGCCCATGCCTACTTAAGGGCTGGGAGAGGTTTGCCCGGGGGGGGGGGAAGAGGGAGAGAGGGAGAGAGAGAGAGAGAGAGAGAGAGAGAGAGAGAGAGAGAGAGAGAGAGAGAGAGAGAGAGAGAGAGGAAGGAGAGAAGGGAAGAGAGAGAGAATGTGAATAAAGTCCTGGAATAAACTGCAGTCAGAAGAGCTCCGGTGGTCGCGTCATCCTTGCGGGACGAGGGTGGCCGTGACACTCCCGTGTACCTGTGCCAAATTATCCTTTCCAGGCTCCTTAACAGAACACTGGTTCCCGCTGCTACCGTTTCTGTGTGTGGCAGATCTTGCTCAGTGTGGAAGCTCCATGGTGTGAGGATTGTGAAGAAGATGTCTGGTTCTCCGCAGGCATTTGACACCTGTTTATGAAAGGAACACCTGGACAATCCTAGCTGTCTACTCTCCGAATCTGACTTCCTTGAGAAGGTAAACCAGCCATGAACATGGGGGGTCATCACTGAACAAAGACATCTCAGTACACCATCTTCTGATTGCATATTTTGTGCCTTCATGGGGTTGCAGCCCCTTCCAGTAGTAGTCCGTCGGGTGCCTGGTGAAGCCCCTGGTTACAAAGCTTTCTGTGTCCCAGGGCATCCCATGAAAACTGAAGCAGGAGGAATCACTACCAAGCAGGAGAAACTGCAGCTTTCAGGACCCACCTCCTCTCAGTGCCACGTACCCCTAAAATAGTACTCTGAAAGGAGGGCCCCACAAAAAGCTCAGAAACTGAAACTTGCACTCATTTAACAGGTGTATCCTAAGTTATTATTGGGCTTGAAATGCTGCTTTTAAGCAGGGACTGAAAGTAAATACATCCGGTTGTTCTAACTTTCAGAACATTCTAGAAGGTGCCTCTAAAAAAGGATATTACATTATTTTTTTTAAAAAAAATAGCTTGTGATTACTCAAATATGAGATATGGAGAGGAGGTCAAAGAGATTATTATGATCACCAGAAGAAAAAAAATCTAAAGAACAAAGCAATTTCTCTGTCTGGGATCACTCAGGGAAGTAGTGCCGTTTTCAGTGTTTTAAAATGGTGAAAGGAACTTAATATTTACTCATTATCCACATAAGTTCTTGAACAACACAGCCTCCTGAATAGTTAATAAGCACAGACAAACACATTATAACATAATAGATCCGGGATTCTAATGGAAGAGAAAAGCTTTTGAAATCCATATGAGATCATTGTGGACAGCGGAGAGAAGACAGAAAGCTTCTCTGTTGAATGAATTGTGGCCACTGAGGTCTATGTTGTCTGGCGAAGTCCACAGAAGCCTGGCTCCCACTCCCCACTGGCTCACCGAGTCTGTACTGATACTGGTTCTGCTTCCCAGCCACCATCTCTCAGCCCTTTGACAGTTGGATGCTTCCATGGAGGCTCCTCTGTACTCCTCCCAGAGAAACCCTGCACTCAGGGCCAGCAAACAGAGGCACAAGCTCACCAACCATTGCCCTGGTTCCTGCCAACCTTCCCCTTGCTGTCATTGCTGATGGCCATCTCTGTGGATCTGCAATGTACTGGTTTGGCATAGAGATCTATTTCTCTCATTGTGCT